GGTTCATATTACTGGAGATGCTTATTCGGTGAGTTTACCACATAGGATGCATGGAGCTCCCAAGAAGGCAAGCAGAGTCTGATGTACGACAAAAAGAACAGGGACCTACATCTTCCTACTCGATGGTGCGTTTGTCATCTTCCACAACTCGCCTCCGAGACTCGTCGTCGCAGAGATGAGAATGAGTCTCGTCTGTCCCGACTCCTGCTTCCAAGCGTCCTCTCAAGAAGAGTGCTTCGTCATCCTACATAATTGGACCTCGAGCGAACCGAGACAAGCTCAGATGCGGGTCGTCGATCTCGTCGAGGCCATGTGCAACAACCACCTCAGCGACGAAGAAACTTGCCAAGGCCTAGCGGGTCTCAGCATGCTGAACCTGTTCACGGCCATCACTGGTATGTACCTTACTTCAATTGAGTCTTTCCTTTCAATGGCACTTCAGGTGTTGTTTACACGCAAACGAGGGCAGATGCTTACGCGATATAACTTAGCATTACACACCCTCGGATTCCACTACGAGGTATCTCTCGCGCCCAACAGCGGGTCGTGGCACCTTCAGATGGGGCTGAACCGATGGATCTCGCTCTACGAGCAGGCCGACAGCTGGGTTGTTGAAAATTCACCCGGTCTCCCGCTGTGCGACGAAATGTGGCGACGGCTGGGTTTCATACGCCACGCAAAGGAGTTTTGGATGCTCGCTCAGCTGATGCTGGATAAGTCACAAGTCGAGTTGAACACGGCTGGCCCAAGTGGCGGGCCGTTTGACAAGACCCGAGGTACGGTGTATGACGAGAATACCATGGATTATGTTCACAACTTGGTGCAAAGTCTTGGAGACTTGAAGATAGCTTAGGATATCGGGTTTGCAATGTCTATATTGTCACTACGCTGAAGCCATCGTTTCCTGTCTACATGCCCATACCATCTCTCGGCTTGGACCAATACGTTAGAGCACTCTGGGCCTCATGAAAGTGTAGCGCAAATGTCTGGCTGTATACTAGGAGTTCTCCTCAAGCCTACCATCGATCTGCTATAGCGTTGGTCCTCCATCTACTGGAATAAGCCATAGAGAGGTGAACCCCGAGACGTGCAGAGCATTCCACTCGTGACGCGTCTCCTTGAAGAAAGCTCTTCGACGACTTGCCGATAATCCAAGACGACTGAATTTGATGTTTCTATGTTCATCGAATGCCGCTTCCATCTGCCGTGAGTTGTGCCTCCAAGCAAGGGTGTCATGTGTGTTGACAACACCACGGCGGCATTTTCCCCACCCCAGCGGCAGATGGGTCTTCAACCACGACTCAGAGTCCCATAGGAAGAAGCGTCACCACCTGTGAGTAGATTACCGAGGTTGAAAGTCAACTCAGAAGTATGAGCCTTAGTTGAGAGCCGGGACCAATCTAGAAATAGCGTCAAGTGGCGCTGAATCGAATGAGCATCACCTAACTCTGAGCTTCAAGAGCTCCCTCCTCTTGACAGACTACCACATACGACCATACCCATTGGAAAATTCGGGATCCCGTCCGCTCTCCCATAGACAAGCCAATGAGGGCCGGATTAGTAGTTGGGTCGGTGACGACCAGCGAATACCTGGTGTTGTATGTTTTTTGAAGTTGTGTTTTGTGAAGCTATCGTCGTTTTGTCGTGGTTGGTGACGATGGAAAGTGTGGGCGGATGTGGTGGGTTTTGGTGGTGGTGGCCGGTGGGGGTTTTGGCTTCTCCAACTTTCAAGTACGTACTATGTTTCTCCAATTATCATGCTAGCGCCGGCTTGGGTCGCATATGCCCAGTCGATCATATGGTGAAAGCGAATGGGTAGTGGGTAATAAACAGTAAATAAGTTTCAACCATATCTGTCTCGCAGCGTTATGAGTATATTCGATCACTTAGACAGATCAGCTGTTGCGCTTTCCGGCGCTGCAGAGGCTCCACTGCGCTCAATTACTTCTAAATCGAGTAAGGCTGCCTACTAGGTACCTAAGGTAGTACGAGGTGGCAGTGGAGCTTACGTGTAAGCTCGCACTGACACCAGTGACCACTCCCGAGACATCTAGAACCGCAGACCAGCGAGAGCACTACTATATTGTGCGTCTCCTGTTCGATTTCCGCCCTCGAGAGATGGAACTCTACTTTGACACATGAACATCTATGCCGGCACACTCAAATGAAGATCAAGCGTGAGGTCGGTCCGCTGGATCACCGCAGGAGACGGACGCGTTGTCAGCCATGCGCTAGAAGGCGCATCAAGGTAAGTACCTATGAAGGATCCATTCTCGCACATGGCGTTACTCGAACTCGCACATAACAATCATAAATAAGTGTCAAGGAGGTCCTCCCTGCGAGTACTGCACTCGAACCAAGAAAAGTTGCCTGCCTCAGGCTACATCTACGACCGAAGTGCACTTCATCAACCCCGAGTCCTCTGAAGAAGGCATGCAAGTCGCTAGACTGCTGACACAAGTCAACTTACACAGCGATATCCTCTACCTTGACTATTTTGATCTATTCATGAAGCGTTGTCTATTCACAGACGAGTTCAACGGCCTGGCTGCCGACCTCTTACCCCTGACCCAAACATGCTTGCCACTCGTGCAAGTAGTGACAGCGATCGGCGCACTCGAAGCCAGCAGACGAGCAACTGTTAGGTCCTCTCGTTATCAGCAGTCACCTTACACCGTTGCCTTTCTGTCCTACGGGGAAGCCATGAAGACGCTTCGAGCTCGACTGCAGGTATCAGACGCGTTCCGCTGCGGTGGAGTTCTCTGGTGTACACTGCTTCTCGGGCTATTCGAGGTGACATACTCTAGTCATTGTTTGCTCTTTTTCGAGTCGTGTTTACTGATTGGTAGTCAAAGTTAATGACTGAAACTTCTGGAGACATGTGGGCTAAACACATGCTCTACGGGACGGCTAGAATCATCCAGAGCATAGCAGCAACGAGTCGGTCGTGTCAACTTGATAAGAGACTCTTTGGAGCATTTAGGTCGCTAGAAGCAAACCGAGCGATTCTGTACGGCGAAAATACGTTCTTGTCGCAGGAGCCGTGGTTAAAGTCTCGACGAGAGCTTGTCGCAAACCCGGGAAGTCAAGTAGAGACAATCTTCGACCTCCTGATCGAGATCTCTTCCTTTAGTAAAGCGTAAGTAAGCCTCATTCTTATTAAATCTGAATCGAAGCTCAAAACATGGATAGGTTCTTCGACCGTATCGAGTCAGTTTCGGACACACTACGACCTGGGCACCCGGCGATACACGCTCTTGCTGAGCGAGGTCGGTGTTTCCAGCAGCGACTTCGCAGCTGCCACGACCAAATGACACCGCGTCATAGTCACAATGATCCATATTGCATGCTGGCTATATCAAACAACCATGCTCTCCAATTGTTTTTGTGTAAAAACTATACCTTTTACGCATGTTGGGAGGGGCAAGACATCCCCTCGCTAGCAGCACACGAGATTGAGGCACATGTGAACGCTGTGGTAGGTCTGTCAGATCACATACTCGAACGTTCTAACATGCCGGGCGTGTTACTTTTGTTCCCTCTCCGAATGGCCGGAGCAAATACAAGCCAGTCTTTACAAAAGGATGAGATTATGAGATTGCTTGACAGAATAGCAACAAAAGGGTTCGCAGTTTCGGGAAGGATCAAGAGGGATTTACAGGAACTGTGGGAATACCAGCACGCGGAAAGGGCATGGGACGACATCTAACATTTATTAAATGCACCGAGCAGGAGCATCTCTGCGCCAAAGAAAAAAGTTGCCGGATTAATGTAAAGTACAGCAAGCCGACTGTACATGACGCGAATGTCGAAGCCCCGGATAAATGTGGTTCAATCTCACTTTGCCTGAATATTGAAGAACTCCATGATCACCCGGGTTCGTAGGTCGGGGGCAAAGTAGTCGTAGCCAACGACGATATTGCACTCATTGACGTAAACCGTCACGGGAATGGCACCCTGGTACATGATACTCCACTAAACAAATGGTCAACCCGACGGTTCACGGAAAAGAAATCAATATGGCAGAGGTCTCTTACCGCGGCAACAGGCGACGGCACAAAATCTCGCCGTATCAGTCCTTCATAGACGGCTCCAGCTTCGACGAGAATATCATCCCGAAAAATAGGAAAATTCGAGTTCACATAACCCCTCCACACGCTCGGGGTGGTGGAGTTCCATCCATATGTCGTCAACGTGTTGTCCACTAGCCCCGACTCGCTAACGTTGGAATAGTCGAACGACGACCACGAAATCTGACCCTCGTAGGCTTCGCCCACGCGGACAAAAGCTCCGGAAGGGAAGTTATCGATGTAGCCAGTCGTGATGTGTGACAGGTTCGCATTCCTAGCTCTCGCGATTAAAAAGAATGTAACGTTGTTACCGGTCGGGAAAAAGTTACCATTTATGCTGAACAAAACTAGCCTGGTAATCTGGTTTGATCAGAGGTGGCTGTGGCTGTTCGAAGCCGGCAGAGAAGGTAATCATGGACGGCGGGAAGGCAGGGCACCCATGGGATGATGGGAGACAGGTTGCCCAAACTGCTGTCGCGGCAAGGGCAGTGAGAAGAGAGTTGAAGGATTGCATTGTGAAGTATGACAAGATTGTGGATGAGATGCTTGAATGTGAGGATGTTGAGTGTTCTCATCTCCCTCATGTCTAGACATTTTCTCCCCTTTATATACATCACGAGCATGTTACTTCTTCAGCATCGCTATTCAAGTGCGTTCTATGACTACCAATTCGGGATAGCTGACTCCACTCACTAGGAGCGCGGCTGTGCAACATGGCGACTGGATATGCTGCAAGACGCGCTCGATTGGTTCCAGCCATGTTCGAGAAAGAAAAAAATCATATGGAGAAGGAGTGTCAGCCTGCCTGACGGTGGTCATCGAACGATGATGAACATATTTCTATTGGATCAGCCTCGTGGTGACATGTGTCTACTCACCACGAAGACCGTTCAGCATAACTAAACCACCATTTATCCAGCTACCATAAAGCTAGTTCGTCTTCTTCTCCTCGTCCTTGGGCACGTATGTCTGCCAAGATTTGTCGCCCATAATGCCATCAATCCTGTTCAGCTTGGCCACCACATCCGCACGGTCTGTGAGGTGCCTCTTGATGTGACCGTGGTTTGGTAGAGAATAGCTAGGGCAGAACGGCGTCAGAAAATAACAGAAGAACGAGGGGTGAAGAAATATTGACTTACTCGCAGGCACAACGACCCACGGAGCATTGAAACCAATGTAGTAGACCCAGAAGTACAGGAACTCGGGTCTGCTGTGCGATACTCCGTTGGAGTAGAGCTCGATCAAGCTGGTTGAGTAGTAGAGCACGACGCCGTACAGGTGCCCGACACTCATGATAATCTGAAAGGGGTAACGCAACTGGTTCCGCTTGGCAGTAGCGATGACAATGGCCCAGCAGAGGGGGCCCCATACGAGCTGGAATCTTGGTCAACATCGGGCTCTTTCAAAATACCAAGAAGCAGCGCGACTTACTACTGTGAAGGACTCAACACAGAGCATAAATGGATCGGAGGTCAGGTAGCGAGAGTCGGAGAGTGCATACTCCTTCCACAGCTGGCCGAAGAGACTTTGGTCACTGGCAAGGCTCTTGTGGTTGAGGATGAAGTATCCTGTGGAAACGTTAGATGGACTGAGAGAAACCGCAGAATCGCGAACACACCTTCGAAGAAACAGTGTACCCTAACCCTAACCCTAACCCTAACCCTAACCCTAACCCTAACCCTAACCCTAACCCGAACCTCTACCGCCTAACCAGACGGTGTCAGCTTTGCAGAAGACCTGGCCCGAGCTTGTCTCGGAAAAGGCCTCCGTTTTCATCCGGTGCCTCGGCGCACGAGCCACCGCCTTGATTACGTGACCGGAGTTTTAGACCGGAGCTTTCCCCTGTGGAATGTCCGTGTTGACCCGACGGCCAGACCATTGCACCGACTCCGGGTGGGGCAGGCCCACAGTAGGTGGAACATCGTACGACGACCCACCGGCGGATTGCAGGTTCAGCGCGTATTTAACCAACCGCCGCCCACCACTCTGCATTGTTGGAATGCAGGTGAACGGCACAGCTGCAGGAACCCAGACAGCAATCGGAGGGACCAGACCTCCGACTCATGCTTAAAGGGAACCAACAGCTTGGCGTGCTACTTACCCAACAAGTATTTATGTCCCTGATGAGCCTTCAAGGCGAAACACTTCTGTCGTTCTTTCGAACCAGGACCGTGTCGGACTTTCTTGTTGCTCATCAGTTTTTATCTCCTCCCGTGGAATCCAATCACATCTAACCCTAACCCTAACCCTAACCCTTGCAAAGCAAGACCGCCGCTTGCATGCCAGGCAATCTGCAATTGTTAGTCGGACATTGCATGGCTATCATATGATAATTACTTACGTGACAGTGCATCAACCAGACACCGGGGTTATCGACTGAATCCTGGTAGTTAGATACTACTATATAACGGAGAACGAGTTTGGAATGCCTACTTTGGAAAGCAATGATTAGATACCCATTGACTGGAAGTAGTGCTACGTCACGCCGGGGCGGGTTATTGCGGTTAATGGTGTAGTTCTTTGGATCGAACTCGGTGGTTCCAGAATCGAGGATAACGAAATCGTGTCCATGTATGTGCATAGGATGTGCCACTGGTGCTTGCGTTTTATAGATTTTGTGAGTCGCATTGTCGACAGACTCTTGGAATTTTCCCTCGATGAGGAAGTACACCCAGCTGTTCTCCTTGTAGGACTGAAGATCCACAGGCTCATAGCCTTTGGGGAATTTGGGATTCTCCCAGCCTTGATCAGAGGCAATTTTGACGAGGCTCAGACTGGGCTGCGACCAGTCTAAATAAAGCGAAGAGTCTTTAAGAACCCACTTATGAAGTGTTGCATCTGGATCAAAGTCGTTGGGGAATCCGACCAGGTGCACCTTCAACGAATCCTTTTCGAAGCCTTCATTAGCTGCATTCTTCACCATCCGTGGAACTTTCGGTTTCAGGTCTTTGGGAGATTCATCGAGGCAGCCATAACAAACGTGACGGTCGTCTACCGGGGGCGTCCAAGGTAGTCTGGTTGAAGTGGGATCATAGCGGATAATGCCAAGATTCGATCGGGCACCCCCGACCTGACAGTCACGCGCATGGATCCAGAAGTCCGTCCGGGTATTCTTGCTTGCATTGGCGTTGATGATAATGTCGTAACGCTGGCCGATGGCAATGTTGATGATGGATGCTGTGTATGGTTCGATCGGGACAAAGTCCGTGCCCACAACCGTGAAATTGTGATGATCAATCCAGAAAGTCGTGTGGGTCGAGGTGCCGGTATTGACAAGGCTCATCTTGTAGGAACTCCCTCGCTTGAAGTTAAATGTCGTAATGTTGGATCCGCCAACGCACTTCGGGTCTGAGTTACAGCCCGCACCAACTGGGCAGCAGTAGTATCTACCATTACCGTTCATTAACATACTATCGGGAGCAGGAGGTCGACCTAAACCACTTGATTAGATTTGATTTTTTTGTGGTGGTGCAGACTTACCCATGTATTCGAGTTGCACCTGAGAGAATGCAGTTTTGTGGAAATTGTCAGTTATTAGTACGGGACCAAGATCTTCGTTGTAATTCATGCTCGTTGGCCCATTAATCTTCAACGCACCCACGAGTCCATCCGCATCTGGCCAGTCGTGTTAACATTACGTGCAGAGGGTGGCGGTAAACATTTGGGGTGACGAACATTGAAGACTAAAGTGGCCTAAGAAAGTCAACGATTGTTATGCAACTGACTGGGTTCTATACGCACTGTGATACCATGAAGTTCCGTATTGAGTGGCTCGCCAGACGTATGTTTTCTCTTCCCCGGGCTTCGATTGTCAGCTTCATGTCGGTGGAATATGGAGATGCAGGCTTACCGGGATTGGGCATTCTGTCACGCCCGATACTCCGTCCCTCCAGTTCGAGTTGCGCTGATGAATGCCATGCCAATGGACAGATGTTCCATTGTGATTCTTCAGCTTGTTCTTGATTGTGATTTCTAATTGAAGAAGTTAGCTACAGTACCTAGATCTGAGTGTTGAAATCGAACTCGACGGAGTCTAGGCCAAGGTAACGGAAGGCGGCGCCAGCAGACTTACTAAAAGTATCTCCCCAATTCCCCTCAAGCGTAGGACCAGGATAAGTCCCATTGAACAACATGCGTTGAACCAGGTATCCATCAGGAGCAATCTCATGATTGTCTACCTCCAAGTAGAACTAGGTCATTCATGATCAGTGACAAATATTGAGTTCTGGAATCAGTTTGAGACATCACTGACCTCTCTCTCTACTCCATCAGGCACATGCTTTTCGTAATCAGTGGTGATGTTGAATCCCTCAGACCAACATTCGCGATTGTTAGCGGTGTTACAAGACCCGGCGAAAGACAGGCCGCTAGATTCCTCCACTAATAGCTGTGTTGCCAGTCTGCCCTGGGCGGCGAATTCAGGGGTGAAGAAGAGGAACTCTGTGAGTCTTTTGAAAAACGTCATTATGAGAGGTGGGTCCGTCGGCCGGACGTTATCAAGTACATATAATGATCTCGTGAAGCAAACAAGATCAGAGGTGGAGGAAGTGCTTCATTTAAAGGGAAAAATCGGTTTCCAAGTTGAACTGTCCTAAACCTGGATTGCAAGTCGTGAAGCGCCCTGAGACAGCCAGTATGCAAGTACCAAGTATCCATGCTTGCAGTCACGCCATCCATGCAGCTGTCCTAACAGGTATGCTTGTCGATATTGAATTCTTGATGGAGACGGACCGAGTGACTCTTCCTTGGTAGATCTCTGCCTTGGCAGATCATTGCTAGCCAATGGACTTACGCTCTTAACCGTGGGGGTTGGCTAGTCTCGGTTATCATGGAATTGGCGACGGTAGCCACCGCATTCTGCCGCAGCAGGTTCATCCTCACATTCATGTGAGTCAAGCACTGCTTTCAGAGATCCCCTGGGAAACACAGACCCCGTGGCGTTTTGATGTACAAATACCTAAGATGACTATCAGAGAGTTAATTGGCGCCAACGTAAGACACATCAACACTTGTTAAGCTTGTACGTCGCCATCGGACTCGGCTGAATGTGCCAATATCAGTTTCGAGCCGTTACCGGAATTCAAAAAGCCTTGTCCTCAAAGTCTCATTCCGGGGTTCAGCCAATGTGACCTCCGTTGGAATGCATTTGCACTGGCGTTTGGGGGAGCTGAAGCGGGACGGTCCGAACCAGGGTTAGCTAGTCAGATTCCAAGACACACTATGTTCAGCCGCACGGAGCATGGCTGGCTGATTACGCCAGCTTGACACGGCCTTTCTCTCTAAGTAGTCACGAACTGGACCAAATGTCATGATGATGAGATGATCAAGTTTGCTGTTTTCATAGCCGTCAGGCAATCGCGGGTCGATGAAAACTTCCGAAATATGTCAACTTATGCCAGTTTGCAATCTTGGGAGCTAGGGAGTCAGAGGCCTCTAGCCAATTTCACTCCATTTATCGTAAGGAACCCAAGCATTTTAGTTGACACTCATGATAGGAATGTGAAATTCTCCGAGATAAGAAACCAGTAATTTGTGATCCCAGAATGCCGTAGGCAACGCCTAGATTGGTCGGGTCGCCGCCCTGTACGACCACTCCCCGTTATCACCCCCTTGCTAACATATAGGACCATGAGAAAATGGTGAGGAACTAAGAATGAGCCGCGGCTTCTACTTGCCGGAAGAAGAGACATAAAATGGCGGTTGGTTGATATGATGTTTTGCTTCAATAGGGGTCTCCAAACCTGAGCCTCAGATATCAGTAGTCGATAATCAAATTGTATATCCTATTCGCGAAAATACGCAGTGTCTAACTGAAAGCAGATTGATGCCTCCATCCCGAGGCATTCACCTCGCTTATCGACCACTTCTTTCGGAGCCCATGTGGCGCAATCCGTTCAGGCAGGCAGCAAGCGGCCGGCTAGAATGGCATGACAAGTATCAAACCCAAGCCAAAGTAAATTTGAGCGCGCACCTAGAGTACTCTTGTTCTAACTGCAAGTACGATTTGTCGCCGAGAATTTCTCAATCTCGTAAACGAGATCTAGACCACCTAGAAGTAAGCTGTGGATCAAGATCATGATTCCTAGCAGCTCGGCCAATTTCATGGCGTCGAAAGGCTTCATTGCTGAATGCCAAGCTAGTGATCTCGGCCCGTTCTAACAATTCCACAACCAAGAAAACTTTCCCTTTTACTTAAGTACCATGGCTAGTGGTACTAAAGCCACCTCAGAGATGGAGCCAATATAAAGACGAAGCTTCAACACACTGCCACGTTCAATTTGTAACTCCTCAAATTTGGAGAATCAGATACAACCCAAAACTTGCTGCTGTCGAGGACTATCCGGATACCAACTCGTAGGCATCAAAACTTCGCTTAGGCCCAACGTTATTTTCCAGCTAATGATCCATCTAGACGTACAATTGTTAGAGACCGTGTTGTAGATCTCGTTAATGATCTTCAGCAAGAATACCGAGATTGCGACGCGGGAAACAGCTACGGTGCACCACAGGGTTGGTACTGGAAAACGACGTTTGAACAGCTGTCGGATGACCACTGGGTTCTCAGTGTACGTATTCTTTATCATTTCAAGCGGATCTGAGTGTATAACTCTAAACATTTATCTAGTCGGTTGATCACACTGCCCAAAACCCGAGCGGGGCAGTCAAGACTCGCCTACACTTCTTCGCATCGCCATTCCGCATTATTGTAGGTCAGAATCCTTTCAAGAAGATGACAGTCTAACGTAGGTATACCAGGCAACACGACCGGGCCTCGAGCCGAGGGAGAAGATTCCCTCTTTTATAGCAGAGACCGGCATACAAGGAACATCAATCTCGGAAGAAGTGATTTGGCGAACCGCTGACCAAGCCTTTTCTTACAACGGCGATCCAGAGATTGATGCAATCAACAATGTCATCCTCAGAATGCATAAGCCGCCCCCGGCCCACTATCTTGGGTTTGGGGAACAGGGCGGAAAGACTGTACTGAAGAAGCCAACGTACATGAATTACTTCTGTGAGTCTTTAGCATCAAGCCTGGCTTCATTCCCCCTTACAGTCTATTAATCGTCCCAGGCTACGACAACTTTAATTACAGGAAGGTATACGGTCAGGGGGCTCTGGATGACAAAGAACCCTTGTAAGCGTTCACCTAGAGGATGTCTCGTACCCAGGCTGATTCCATAGATACCACTCGTCTCCGTTCTTCCTGGAAATGAATGGAACTCCCAACCATCGGAATGTTACCGGCTTGATGGTTGACAACTACTCACAGGTCGCCATTGATCTTGGTATGAATGAATCGAACACGATCGGCATCGCTACGCGATTTGGGACGTTTGATGCCTACATTATGACTGCGGACAACGTACCGAAAATGATCTGGTTGCTCAATCATCTGTGACCTTGCCGAATCTTTGCTGACAGCTACAGGCAATACACTTCGATTGTCGGGCGACCGAAGCTCAAGCCTCGCTTCATTTTAGGCCATCACCAAGGATGTATGCTGTGAAGCTGAACTCCTCCTCTCAGAAGCATGCTGATGATCTTAGGTTACGGATACAGTAAGAGCGCAACTGTTGAGGGCATCGTGGACGGATACCGCACCTCAGGAATTCCCCTAGATGGAATGCATCTAGATGTGGATTTTCAGGTAAGATCTCGACGACCGATTTTGATCAGGGCTAATAATCTTAGGATCGATACCGCACTTTCACCGCGAGTGAGTCAAATTTCGGCAACATCAGCGACTTCTTGAACGGCCTTAGGCAGAGGGGGGTAAAGTGCTGCACAAACATCACGCCTATCCTCAGTCTTCGAGAGTCAGACGCCGACCCATACATCAATTTACGTAACTTTTGGGATGAAGGTGATAAGCTAAATCCTGCCACCAAGTAAGGGACACTCATTCTGCTAGTTTTACCAGGCTGACGGATCATTCGCAGTCTTTTGGTTAGCGACAATAGGTATCTGAAGGGTCTTCCCAATAACCAGCCGCGCGGATGGCGATATGATGGCGGTTGATTTGCAGTGCCGACACAGCTCGATCCAGCCAACCCCGACATACAGAAGATCTACACAAATTCTGTTGATGCGCCCAACAATGGACTTCTTGACAACTACAACTTTAACGAGAATTATAATAGCGGGTACCCTTTCCACGGAGGCGTTAGCTACGGCACATTTCCTGGAACCAATACCAACCTTGGAACCGTGAGTCAATCTCTACAGATTCTGAAGTCAAAACTGATTCGTGGAGCCCGGCTATTATCCTGACCTGAACCGTGCCGTTGCACGCGAGAGATGGGGAGAGCAGTAAGTCAAACCCCCCACTTCCTGGCACCCCCCTGTTTCTGGCACCCACAAAAACGATGGGATCACAACCCAACCTCCTCATTACTATTAACTATTGATCCTCAACCACACCCACTACAATACAACTGCCAGCCTCACTAGGGCATTCAGAGTCGCTGGATTCAGCCGTAATAACCTCCTTTTCACCCGCTTCGATTTGAGCCCGATGGATATCCCTGATGTTCGCAAACTTCGTGTTGGGATCGATCTGAACAGTCTTCCTCTTCCTAACTGCAGCGTTGGTAACAGGCCTCAGGTGAGCCAGCTGCTGCTGGGCAACCCAGTTGCCAGGCCTGCTCTGTGAAGCCTTTTCACCTTCCTGAACAGCAGCCGTTGAGTGCTGGTATCATTGTCGAGTTGGGTGTATAAGTGCAGTTGACCGCTGAGCTCTGCCAGCTTCCTGGGTGTCGACCAGACCACTGCAGAGGAAGCAGAATCCATGGCTCAACAGGGTAGTTTGTTGACCATTATGGCATCGCTTTTTGCCCCGACTGGTTGGTTTGGGTGTGGTGGGCTTAGCAGAAGGCTCAGGTAATACCATAGGGTTCATCAGGGCTTAACCATCGCTACAGGGTGTAGACCAGTCCACTTCAACCACTTCTGATGTTCGAGACTGATAGACCAGCAAGTCGAGCCTTCTGGTAACAGTCCAGGAAGTTCCTTTTACCTATAATGGTAGAGTCGTTCCATTGAGACAAGTAACCGAGCTCCTTCCGATAGGCTGACTTAACAGGGCTGAAGACAGACTGGTCAAGTGGCTGGAGGACATGAGAGGAGTGTGGTGGTAAGAACAGTAAATGGATATTGTTAATATAGCAATTCCATGAAGTCTGTCGTCGTATGACTCCCATGCCCATCCACAATCAACAGTCGAGCCTCGCCCTCAGCCTCGGGCATAGTCTGTGGGATAAACACCTTCTCTAACCATTCAATGGCAGTTAAGTCTGTAGTCCAGCCATTATCTGTTGCTGTAAACTCCCACCCATCGTATGGAACCAGATGTAATGGAAACCACTGTTGTTGGACCGTCTTCCCTTGAAAATGATAAGAGGACAAGTGCCCTACCCAAGGCTGAGATACACTCAATGATAGAGACCCATGCCCTCGACCCAGGTTGTTTCTTGCGAACAGACGTCGTCTCAGCCATGCCCAGCACTAACCCATTAGCTCCCTGACCCTCGAGGATGCCAGTCTCATCCATATTATATCTGTTGGCTGGTTTGATGTCCTTGATCTCAGGGATAGCAAGGAACTTAAACCAGTTCCTAATGACCTCAGTAGATGCCCCATTAACGCGTCTAGAATCGATGGAACGACTTCTCTGAACCTTAATGATAGGGTTCCTTCTCACGAAGGCATAGATCCAGCCTTTTATAGATCCAGCCTTTTCCTGGTATCCCCAGCAGCAGCCAGAACTCGCTCTGCGAATTCCTTCACCTGTTGGTGCGTTGGTGCGAGGCCCAGCGAAGCCTGAATGCGAACCCATTGTGCCAGCTACTCTCCTGGTCAGGAGACAGCCTCTGCCAGTCAGCAAAAGCCACTTTCCTAGTCTGACCACCTTGGAGACGTAGTTGAGGGTTGATCGTGGTATCCCATACTCCAATGAGGCTCTTTGACTCTTGCCGTTTGAGATGTCCTCGAGAGCCTGACGAAGCTGATCTTCGGTATATTGAGGCATTAGATATAGAAGAAGGTATGTGCAAAAAATGAGCCCATTTGGACTCGAATTGAAAATGTTGTGATAAAAGGAGGTTGGGGGTGGGCATTGCGTTGTGGTGGATTTTCGCGTTTTTGTGGGTGCCAGAAACAGGGGGGTGCCGGGAAGTGGGGGGTTTGACTTACCAGTATCTTTTCGACAACGGCCTGGAGTTCGTCTGGCAAGACATGACAACCCCTGCCGTTGCAGAGATCTACGGCGACATGCTTGGGTCAGTAAACCTTGTCTTCCAGAGTCAACAATCGCTTACAAAGTTACAGCTTCCCATCCCGTCTTCTCATGTCCGATGACACTCCCAACCAAGATCCGAAAGTTAAGCCATCAACGAAGACTGCTATTGAGCTTTGGGGTCTTTACTCGTACAACTTGCACAAAGCAACGTACAATGGGCTGAATAAGCTTAAAGGAAGAGAGAACAAGCGCAACTTTGTTATCGGCCGTGGAAGCCTTACTGGCATGCACAGATTCGCCGGCCTTTGGACTGGCGACAACGGCAGTTCTTGGGATTTCTGGAGAATATCGGTTGCGCAGGTCATTGCTCTGGGGTACAGTGGCATGACAATTGCAGGAGTTGACATGGGAGGCTTCACCCCTGATCCAGACAAGAGGCTCAACCCCCCGCAGTGGTGTGATCCAGAGCTGCTGATTCACTGGTACACTGGGGCATTTTTGCTGCCTTGGTACCGAAACCATTACATCCAGCATTTCGGCGGCAAGAATTTCCAGGTATTTATGGCCACGACGAAGCTTAATATACTTTACTTACATTGATCATCACCCAGGAACCGTGGCAGTACACATACGCTTTTCAAAATTACCCGCAGGCTCTTCAGGGGTCCGGTCAAGATGTGTATAACCTCTACATGTCAGTCGAGCCGATCTGCCGCTACTACGTCCAACTCCGATATTCGCTGATGCAGGTACTTTACGATACTATGTTTGCGAACCTGATCAACGGTTTACCCATTGCCCGCGCCATGGTAAGCCATATGTCCTTGCTACGCTCTTCGAATGAGGTTGTTCACTAAAGCAATTAGCTTATTACCGATCCGGAAGACACAACGCTATTCAATGCAAATGATGATTTCATCGACAATCAATATCTTCTTGGCCATAACATCTTGGTTTGCCCCGTCCTGAATCCAGGTGTTAACTACAGGCCAGTTTATCTGCCCGGTTCTGATCAGTGGTACCCACTGAACCTTCGCATCGACGTCCAGAACCAAGGAAAAGATCCGCAGCGGGTCAAGCATGCTGCTGATTTGGAGCAATCCGTACCTGGTGGTACCACGATCAGTTATGGGTGTTACATACCTAATGCCGGGTTTCAACCCGAGCAGATACCCTTTGTCACACCAGTATATGTCCGAGCCGGCAAGTAATTGAAGCACTCCTCAAACATGACTAAGTCTGACCATCACAGGGGCCATCGTCCCGCAACTTTATTACCGCCAGTTTGTAAATGAAGGCGGTGTGAACACGCCTACAATTCACATCTACCCTAATGTACCGGGGCGAAAGCCAACGGCAAGTGGCCTTCTACAACTTGGGTAAAGAACTTAAACTGATAGGTGTGACGTTTAAGCATTACTCCATGTACTTGGATGACGGCGTTAGCCGGGACAGTGCGCCGGCCGATCTACCTCAACACAGATATTCTCGTGCTGCCACCTCTACTACGAGTGAGGCCAAGAGCTACTTCCGCGAAGTCAAGATTCATCAGGTTTGTCCGGTCCATTGAACCTCATTGTCATCGTATATATCTAATACCGGGCTTAGGAGTATGACGGTGCGTTGCGCATTGTCAAGCTCTCTCATCCTTGGAACCTTTTCAACGCGTCTCATCTTATTGGTGACACGTATCAACTCGCCCTCTGGACCGAAAAGTGCACAGCACCAAGCGCTTCCGGTGATGTCAGTGTCTCGTTTCAAGACCAAGACGGAAACTCCATTACCAATTCTGGTTTGACATACGAATACACCCCAAGCCGAGGTGTTTTGACGGTTTATGTGCCGGTAGCTCTGGTACCCGATCTTCAGAACCAGCTACCTGGGTTGGTTTCCCCTGAGGACCACTTCGTCTCTATCAGAGTTTCTGGGCTTCCTTAGGTTGGTCACTTGATGAAGTATTCCAGAAACAAATGGGCGTGGTTCTTGGGCTCAGCATTGCATTGCTACTCAATGTTCGTCTTTCTTGTAAGGGTCTAGGTTATCGATATTGGAGAAATTGTATGGTTGCGAATCAACCAGGAATTAATAGTACTGCAGAAGAATGTATAGATTCAAACTTTCTTTCATCACTTTCATTAAATCTTCTACTCAGATATTCAGTACAGATAAGATACGACAGGGCGGGAAAAATCTCAAGTACATCTCAGCTTCAAAGTTTGGCATGAAACATTGACAGTGCCTTTCTACCTAACCAGCAAGACTTATCACGTAAGAAGTACTCATGTTACAATTCTCTGATGACTTACTGAATGCTACTTATCTGCGTAAACCGTGATTTCACCTTAGAAGGTTGACCCTTGAACAAGGTGAATTTTTCAGAAAAGCACATGATCAGATGCCTATCAAGTCACAACACTGTGCTCAGAGTCTTAGCCAGGGAGGTGATTTCCCATCAATAGTATGTTGTCTTGATAAATACATGAGTATAAACTAGATTCAGTACAACAAGAGGGATATTCAATAGAGTTAGTACAAAATGCATGGGGTGCATCTAGTCAATAGAACTTCTCCGTGTATAATGTTTATGGCACATACCTAGGTGAGTCGGGGTCTGCACAAACGGTGAGCCCTGTTCCGCATATGATCCACAGAGTCACAGCTGAGTTTGTTAATTCGTCATCGAATTTATAATGCACATTCTGTAAATACAGCCTCAAACGTAAGGACATACTGGCCCCTCTAGTAGATATATGACCTCCTAATATAATGAAAAAAGTGTAGCATGCGCGTATACTGGCACGCAACGCCGATGCTTCCCTTTTGCTAAAGACCCGCAAGAGAGCTATGGCTCTCCAGACTCGGAATCCCAATAAGACTCCTCACTTACTTAGGTAGCCAAGTAGCTACGGTGGCAAATCTCAGCCTGTGGGTTCTTTGCGCTTTGTGACCACAGAATCACCAGGTTCTTGGTGCTGTCATATCCAAATCCTCGAACATGGAGAGCTGCCTCTGAATGCGCTCTTCATCGGGGTGCGCTAGACAATCCCATGCTGCAGCTGCACCGAGGTATGATGAAATCAATTGTTCCATAGAGGCTTGTTCGTTTTGGCTCCCGGCGCTCGGTGCATCTTCATGAACTGGCAGCTCGGTGTCAGCAGCAGACCTTCCCAAGGAGGACCCTAGAATCCGTCTGATGCGCTTCATGTAGTCTGGCTCTTCTGGCCTTAATCCCTGTCGAGATGAAAGATAGTCATCCCGTTTCTTCCACGCCTTCGTCGTAAACTTGGCGAGAGCGATGTTATACTCCTGGGAAGGGTCCAAAAACTCGGGATGGAACTCATAAATAGACGGCACTAGCTGCCAGGCCCGCTCGACTATAGCCCCTGTCATTCGCTGGCTAAGCTGGCCGATCATGAAAATTACTACGTCATACTGAAATAGCAACTTGAGAAACCAGTGGAACTCCGGGTGTCTATTCGACCTATAGGCGTTGATGTTCTGCTCGGTGGTCATAACGGACCATTTGAATAGGTTATCTTTGGGTGTCATGATCTCCGATCCCCATTCTGGTTGTTCTTGGGGAGGGCGACTCGTTTCCTGGACTTTTTGAAGTATTAGAGACTTCAAAAGGCTGGCCAACTCGTGGACAGGACCAGCCGTAGGATCGGAGTTCTTATCGATCACAGCATTGAGCCGACCCTCGAGATTCTTGATAAAGGCGCTAATTTGTGCCGACTGAACTTTGCTTCTTCTTCCTGAGCTCAGGGTGCTTAATTCGTTATAGAGCATTAACGATTCGATGTCTTGTTGCTGCTGGATGCAAAAGCCAACTTGATACACCAAGAGTGGAATTATCATGTCTGTCGGGCCTTCGCGATTCTGATATCGCTCCGTTGCACCCGCATGTAAGTCCGCGTCATTTAGGTTCTTGGGAAGTTTACAATCGCTAGGTCGCGGAAGTAGTGACTGGCTCAGCCCTGATATCATGGAGAATTTCGAGTCCAACATGAAAATCTGCCACCAAATCCGCCGCCTCATCTCGGTTTCAAAAGGTGAAAGACCGAGAAGCTCCCCATCTCTGTGGAGGCCCATTTTCTGGGCGATTCGTACACAGATACCATTCAAAATCCAAGCTCCATGGATGTTGCACCTGCCCTGTATCGACATCTTAGACATGATTAGCAAAACAGACAGCAAAGATCAACACTAAATGGCCTTACAATGTGCAAAACTAATGCCTGGAGTGTTGTCAGATCGTGAGATTTGAGAAATTGCGCCTGTAGCAGACTCGCTCGTACACCAGATGAAAACCGCCAAAACGCAGCTTTGCATGTGGAGCCTAGCATTGTGAGGCACTCGTCATCAGTCATGGAGACGATGGACATGCTGTATATGGCGAAGAGAAGGGCGTCAATGTTGTGTGGCAAGGTCCCTGGGCCAGCGGCAGCTTCTGCCACGGACTGCTGCAAGGTGGGGGGGTGTATGATTTTCGTAAGAGAATTAACTCTCTCGAGAAAGATCTGCCATAAGCCGAAAATCTGGCCGGCGCTTGGATAAAGATCATGAGGTTTCCCCGACGGCAAGTTGCCGCCGACAAGGAGATATTCGCTGTAATCGGGCATTGAAGCTCCGGGGTCCCAGTCGGACGGTTCCGCCTCAGCGATGTCCTCTTCGTAATCCACAAGTTTTCTCATCCCACGTAGCTTAATGTGTTGTTTTCTTAGCAAGAAGCGCAGCTAGGCGACGGATGTTTCACAAGTCGTACCTCTTCATATACGGTGGCCCATAGGAAGTTGTCCGTGAAGCGCACAGTACCACCTTCCGTCACAAGCTTGCCAGCGGGTTTCCAGTTGATTTCGTGATTTTCATACTGGGGGATGCTGGAAGACTGTGGCGGAGCGACTGTACCGTTATCTTCTAGCGGCTCATTGCTTGCAGCTGCATATCGGGCCAAAAGCTCCTCGCAACGAGCAAGTCTAGCTTGCAGCTCCGCATTAGGACGTCTACGCTTTCGCACCGGTGCCGGAATGCTAGGACTACATGTCGTATGAGACTAGGTAGGAGAATATAAACGTCAGCAATAGTTCAAGAGCAAGTAAGGAAGAATAACAACAAAAGAGGTGCGTGGTCCGATAGATAGGCGGAAGCTCTAGCTCCGCCGCTTCGGAGACAGAGATCCATAACATTACAATATGTTGCCGACGTTTCCGAAAACAGACCTTGACACAATTTGCGCACGGGTATTTCCGATCACACTTGATCTTTCGACGTTGGCATAGCATGCAAGCTAGAGGCCGAGGCTGCTTTGCAGAGGACCTGCTCGGAGGAGGAGCTGACATCTCGCGAAACGAGTGAGCTGACGAAATACGCGAAATATGTAGCAGGAAAATTGAAAGACATGCGGAATGTCCCGTTGTGAGCGCTTTTCAGAACCTCTTTCAGAAGTTGATGCGTCTATCCATCACACTGCAGCATAACTATTGGTGGCGTCAATATGAGTGGGAAGTTGAGAAGACTCTCGTGGTGAGACGCCAGTCGAAAAGGGTGACGAAGTTTAAATCGAGGGCAATGCCCAGGAACAGAGCGGCTTGCTCGGCTGCAGCGCCCCTGCAGCTATGATTAACATTAACACGTATCCGTAAAGCGTCGAAGACCTCCAGCTAAGCTGCCACCAGGTAATGCTACCAAATTGTGCCTAGGCTTGGTCAAGAGACCCATCTAGAAGGAGCACGTCCCCTTTAGGCGAGATATTCCTAAAGAGACCTAATTCGTAACCCATCAAGTGAAACAAGCCACCCAGCGTGCTATCCACCCAGGCCTCTGCGAAAAGTTTCGCGCAGTGTCTCGTGTAGCAAGCAAAAGCCAGCAAATTCAATGGCAATGTTCCACGGTGTGCGTTAGAAATTCTATGAATCAAAGCGTTCTACTAAATGTTGCTCCTGACGCAAAATTCCACACATGGCTGGTGCAATGAGGTGAAGGTGTCCGATATCATGCATCTCAGCTAGAAGTTGGAGGTAGCTTGCTAAACATATCGTGTTCTGAAATCGTGGTGCGTTAAGTTAGGATGTGCAAGCTAGCCTAGGGTAGCGTTAGGATACTCTACATTACCTGTATGTGACTCTTGTTGGCCGTTGATACCAAGTAGAGTATCCGTATCCACTCCATACCCAGTAGAGCCGTGGAGCGAGGCAAGATTAGCCGCTGGAAGATGCCGAGCCAGTAGTGGTAAGTTTCTTCGGAGTCAAAGTCGTATGTGCAAGTCTTCAATCGGGCCAACTGGATCTATAACTGTCTTGTCTTCGTCTCAAAACAGCAGTCAGGCTGGCAAGAGTCACGTTGAATCAGAGCGCTCCAAACGACAGAAAAGAATAACCTTTGCAGAATAAGCTTTGAATCTTCTTTCGGCCCGAGCCTTTGAGCCAAGATTTCCAACGCCGTACGAAATCTCAAGTGCTTCTTGAAGAACCTTGCAATGGGAGTTTTAATTAAATATAAGGTCCAAGATCAATGTGTCCGTCGCCATCGAGGAGTTGGAACAAGTTCAGATCCCCAAACCCATGATCCATCTCGTTTCTTCCATCAAGCATAGATAGATCCGGCGTTCTGGGTAAGGAGGATGAAAGGTTCAAAAATGACGCGTCCACGTCCACAAAAGATGGCGAACCAAGTCCAAGAAAGCCAGAGCCAGAGTTATGTGTCTTCGACACGAGGCTTCGATCCGTGCTTGTATTCGGACTGGCCTCAGTAGCTGAAGCTTGGATGTTGTGGATGCTCTCAGTGCTTTCTCGTGGGACAAGCCCGAAAAGCTGTGATGAGCTTTCAGTACGCTGAATACGCTCTCTGAGTTCCTTCTTTTCAAGATACTCAAGAGCAGCGTTGAGTAATGACTTTGCAATCTGCGAGTACTGTGAGGCGTGGGCATCGATTTTCGCAAAATGTTCTAGAACCAATATGGAATTTCGCGTGTACTTTTCCAAAATGCGGCCAAACGATCCGAGGAGGCCCACGCCCAAGATGAGAGATGAAGCAAATAACCAAGAGCTACAGAAATGAATAAGCCAGGTTCGAAAATACTGCGTCGGTATGATCACTCACACGACTAAAGGCATGTGCCCTATTAGAACCCCTTTCTCGACTAGGCCGACTAAAATGTCGACCATGAAGCTTGCGGCATCGATACACGCATCAGCAAGTTTCGACTTGCCAGAGGTCAGACCCGAAGTTGTCGTTTGTGTCTCGGCCACCCCGTCGGCCAGTCGCTTGTGCAATTCATACATTAGGAAAGGCCGTGAGACCAAGATTACCGCTATATACCATCAGTATCATCTCTTTGGCTCGTAGTCCCGAACGGAAAGTCGCCAGGGAAACTGACCGTAGTAGTAGGAACAAAGGACCTGACATGCTCCTGTCACCTTGCTTGCTTCTTGGTCAGATCGAGTATCGGAAACAGTGTCCTTTAGCCTCTGTAACCACCGAATTGACCAGTCTCGTAGCTGTCGTGAGATACCCTCGGTTAATTGATACGAAACCTTCCTTCTCGAGTACACCTCTACGACGATGCCTTCAGTGATCAAGAATATTTGCGCTGAGGCATTGAGTAGATCGAAGATTTCTTGTCCCTCATCGTCCAACTCCCTGTAGGGTACAGTGCAATCCACGTCAGATGTTGCAGGTGGCCGGCCCATTGATGTACTTAAGAAGAGATCCAGGACACGCAGGCTCTTCCACAGACGATCCCTACCAAGTATTAGTATAAGCAGTCTGTGTTGGTAACAGAGTAACCATGGGGGTTTGTACCGCTGTCTATGGACGTCTGCACCAAAACGAGAGTTGATTTCTGTGCGGTGGATCCCAATCGAGTAAGCTGCTCTCACTGCGATGCCTGCAAGTTTGCCCTGTGGTTAGTATGAACCACCCCAAGTACTTTTATGACTGATAGTTCTCCCGGTGACATACCGAAGAATAGGAATGCCCCATTCATTTGGCATGAACCGAGCATATAGACAGTAACTAGAATGAACGTCTGAATGGTTGGGACATTGATATTCCCGCTGAGGTTTGCAAGGGCGATATTGCGCGCATGTTCAAAGTAGGAAGATGCAAGGTCTTCCTCGGAAGACTGGTAGCCTATGGCAAGAACGAGGTAGAAAGTTGCGGAAACTGCGTCTTGTAGTCTATGGTTCTGACGAGCCCAAGACTTGATTTCGCTGACGAGTTGCGCATGTCCAAACAGATCAACTAGACCACTGGTCTGTGAGATCACGTATGATTGGTTATCAAAGTTGAGCACTCTGTAGCAAAACAAGGAGGAGGTCTCACCACTTCATGGTACCTTACAACGGCACCCGATATTGTCGTAAGTTGGAGAGTGGGCTCGTCGTTTCTGGAATGATGAACCGGCGGTCGGAAAGGTGGATTTTCGGTTTGGTGCGCAAAGACTTGCGGATCGACGCGTGTGTTGACCAATTGCCGAACAGTTTGGAAGAATGACAACGGCGCACAATCTCCAATGAAGACTTGATGACATACAACACATCAGTTAGGGAATTAGGTATGTATCTTTCTGGGATGGACGTACTTATTTTCCCCTGAGCGTCGCACAAAAGACGTGCTTCTCGGGGGACTTCTGTCTCTTCTTCGGCAAGGGCCTCGTGCGAGGTGACTGATTGCCGGGTCTCGGACTGAACATCTGGGCCATTGTGCACAGACGGAGACGGCGTTCTAAGAAGGGGCGCCGGAGCTCTTCGCCTCTGTTGCGGAGAGTATCGACACGCAGAAGGACGCTGCCGTCTCAAGCAGTAGCTGCATGGCAACTTGCCATCGCATTTGACTAGTACATTGAAGAGTCAAAATAGAATTCAGATAATAATCCACGAACCACAGCATGCGAGTGCGCGCTGGGACTGTTTGTGGGCCGGGAGCACGCACATTCAGTTGCCTACATGCAGGAGACAAAACAATGCTCAAATTCAAAAACAAACTGGCTTGTGAGAGACATTCGGAGACGGAATAGGAATTGTACCTTTGCGGGCCTTGCAGCTGTCGCAGGCGTTGGCGACTCTTGTGCGGACATAGGCGTGTGGCGATGATTCTTGCCCCGAAACATCTTCCATAGTGTTACAGCCGTAATTACTTCGCTGTTGTGCAGACAGACATGCGGAAGAGCAAAGATCGGGACACGGAGGGAGGAAACCAGCCAGTGCCGGTGTGGAAGTTTTCCGAGGGCGGAATTTGCTCGACGCTAGCCGTGGTTGGGTAAAGTTCTGTCAGTGCACATGATACAGTACTTCCGATCATATACACGTTGACGGATGCACGGTGTGATCACGATCTGTTGGAGCCGCTCCTGGCCACCCCAGAGCCATTTCCAACGTCCAGGAGCCTTAGTGTACTTGACCTGGTGCCGTCATCACATTTCCGACCCTAGGAGGATATCGTACACAGCAAGTTGGAAACTACCCTAATCACCACTCTGCAGTGGAGCAGGCGTGACTTGTAGTACGATGACGTACATACCTGCCTATATACAGAGTGCTTTCTTTTCACTGCTTGGCTCCGAATTAGTCGAAATCCTCAGATTTCGGAATATCCTGTTAGAATTGGCAGTATTCTTCCTCCGTTCAGTCATGATTAGTTATTCCTGGTGAAATATCCTTTACCTGGCCATTCTCTCTACTTTCCCCCTACGATGGTTCAGTGCTATTCCTCCGCAAATAGTGTGGAGTTTAGGGAAGTCCAAGGCATGAGAGATATCAGACTGCGGTACGCGGCAGCTTGGTATGATAGCCAAATGAAAGTTCTAGTCAAGGCTGGGCATCTTCTACCCACATCCTACCATTATCAGATGAAGGCAGGACGCAAGCCTGGCTTGACTATTTCGATCACAGAAGCACGTCTAAGGAAAAGCAGACTTCAACCGGCATTTTCGGAAGTAACAGAAGTAAATGTATGTCAACATCAGGAAACTCGTCGCCGCTGCGGAGGCTAGTGTGTTCTATTCGCTCAGCTGCGATGCGATCCGAGATCCGAACTCACTCTTCCGCTCCCGTCACCGGAGAGGGGCCCCCAAAAGTCACACAGATGGGACTTTCCCAATTTGTGGACCCGGCTTCATGTGAATGGAGCATTGAGGTTACATGCGGAAGTTTGACTCTTCAATCCCCTTGCATTAGTCTAGCACTGAATTATGTAATTTCGCTCCTTTTCGGTGGCTCTACTGTTATGGATATCATGGATCGACGCATCAAATGATCATCTCCGCGCTGCTCTCTCTAACTGTCCCGCCTGCAGAGTTTCGTCTCTTGTTTGCTTCAGGAATGGCATCAACGCTGTTCCGCCTGTCCCCGTGAGCTGCTCGTCCTTTACTGAAGACGCGCTTGCCAAGTCTACTTTCACACCACTGTGCATCTTCTTCGAAGGAAGCACGATGTAGCGGGTAACAATCTGCAAATGCTTGTTCCGAAACTCCGTCATCGTTCGAATTGCTGCTTGATATGCATTGCAGAAGTCTTGCTGTTCGACAGTTGAAACCGGTAGTTTTGCAAGCTCTCGGATGCTGCCCATGCGGGCAACGTGTTCGAGGAAACGTTTGTGTGGCCCTGGCATGTAACTGCGTACTTCCTCGTGAAAAGCAGGCATTCGTGTTTGGCTGGTGTTGGTCTTGCTTGCATGTGGGTTGCTATTGCCCTCTGACGTGTGCTCAACCCCCAGAACAATGTCGAGGAATTGGATAAGAGAGCTTTGTCCGTTGCTTCCCCCACGAAGTTGTTGCCAACTACCCTGGCCATTGCCTTCGTCGTAAAAGACACCTTTAGGTAGGCCTGCTGCTGCCATGTTTTTACTTCCGGCCAGAAATGGACGAATCTCGTAGAAGAATACCATCGGGTCGCAGTTCTCATACATCCGTTCCAACAAAGCCCCGATCTGTCGAATATTGCCAGACAGTGCTTCTAGTGCCCGCGTGATTGTGTCGTAGTGCCTTGTCTTGATGGACTCCAAAGCATTCAGCATGTCGGTCATGATTCGAGCGCCTTGGGCTTCCATGGCCACTGAGACTAAGTAAAACCAAGCTTCGTCCTTTGTGCCAGTAAAAGTGTGTAGAGACTCAAGAGAGTCTAGATCAGTGAAATCGTTCGTAGTCGATAGGAAGTTCCACAAGTTCAAGCCTGCGTAGGTCGCGACAGGCGGAACCTCGAGATGCTCGGAGACGCGTAGGAGAGGGACAGCTACTGCTGGAGGCAAGATCTTCAACTCATGTTAGAAAGCCCTTGGTAAACTTAGACGGGGTACCGACCTGTTCTGCCTGCTCTCCGCCCCAGATGTAGGCATGCGCCAGAAAGATCAAAATCACATAAGCTCTTCTCCACTCAGATTGACTGCGTAGCTTGTTCGTCGATAAGAGAGGAAGACCTTTGACGTCTTGTCGTAGCTTGCCTGCTTTGAGAAGCTCCGGGAGATGATGAACAATCGTTTCCCATGGTGAGTAGTAAGGATCCGAAAGAACTTTGACCGGTGCATCGGCCGGCAGGAAACCGTTCTGTGTGATGGCGTACTTCTTCATCAAGGCAAGAACATCTGTCTGTGCCTGTTCTGCGAACATAGGAAGCGCGTGAGGAGACATATTAACGGAGTTCAGACGTCAATAACACAAAGAAAGAGGCGTACTATGATGAAGTCGATACGCGGAGAGAAGAGGGTTAGAAGAGATTGATTGAGTTGATATGTGCATGGAACAAAAACAGTTCAATGCGAGTCAGGGTGTGGTAAGATGAAGAAGTAGCTCTCCAACTGCCTATCTCAACTCCCCTGTCTCCGTGTTACTTGCCAACCTGTATCCGTACCTACTCGGTATTCCGTATGCATCTTGCACTGACACGTTTGTCATCCGATGGTATAAGTGGACCAAGCCGAAACCCGTCGCTTATATGCGGAAGCGCTAGGGCTGAGACGGAAGCGGATGCCGGATGCTGGTGGGGCCGCTCGCGAAGTTTTCGGAATGACGATGCGCTATCTCGAGCAAGATGAGGAGGGGACAGGTACAAAGACGATCAAGACGCCCTGGTTCTGCCTCGAATGGTGCCATATCTCAGAGTATCCGAATCATTCAGCAAAGTTGACATAGTTTGTCGTACGATCTAAGATGGATTTCAACGCATTTGCCGAGCAGATTCGTTCTGGGAGCCAGGCCAAGTTTCCTGCCAATGCAAACACCATCTCGTTTGCGCAGCAGCTCGACGCGCAAGACAAACTCGCGTATTTGCGCAATGATTTCATCATTCCGACGAAAGGCTCTCTCAAAAAAAAGTCTTTGACCGGAACTCTCCCTAGTAGGTCCCGCCAAGGAATAGTGACACAAGATTTGTGGCACAGCAATTTTCACAGATCCAATACTGATTGACCCAAAAGACAATCAACATCTCAACGGCAATGCAAATGGGGTCAATGGCACCAATGGAAGTAAATCGTCGTCCGAAGATGATGCGACTCCATCAGTCTACTTTTGTGGTAACTCACTGGGAGTTCCACCCAAAGCAGTCAAGGACTACATTCACGCTCAGTTGGAGACCTGGGCATCGATTGGGGTGAATGGCCACTTTCAGGGCCTCGAAAACTCGCCCCTTGTTTGCTGGCAAGACATGGCTGAGGACGTTGCGAAGAAAAGTGCAGCCATTGTCGGCGCCCTCCCCGAAGAGGTTGTTATGATGAATACCTTGACCGCAAACCTGCACTTTTTGATGGCCAGCTTCTACCGACCGACAGAGAAGAAGCACAAAATCATCCTTGAATGGCGGCCATTTCCCAGTGATCACGTGAGTTAACTGTCAATACATACTACCTATTCGTATACCGAGCTGACAAAGACAGTATGTGATCGAATCGCAGATTCAGTGGCATGGATTGGATCCGTCCAAGTCGATGGTCCAGATCCAGCCCGATGAGAACTTTTACATCTCAACCGATCTCATTCTGAAGACCATTGATGAACATGCAGAGGAGACTGCCCTGATTTTACTTCCTGGTATACAATACTACAGTGGCCAACTCTTCGACATGCCTCGGATTACCGAATACGCGCAGTCCAAGAGCATCATTGTCGGTTGGGACTTGGCTCATGCTGCTGGAAACGTCGAGTTACGGCTTCACGACTGGAATGTTGACTTCGCAGCCTGGTGTACATACAAGTACCAGAATGCTGGACCAGGGTCAATGGCCGGCGCGTTTATCCACGAAAGACACGGAAAGGTCGACACCAGCGAGGGGAAGCCCAAGTTTCGCCACAGACTAACGGGCTGGTACGGTGGTGACAAGTCGGTCCGCTTCAACATGGATAACAACTTCCTTCCTACTGTTGGCGCTGGTGGTTTCCAAGTTTCAAATCCCTCAGCCATCGATCTCGCCTCGCTATCGGGTGCCCTCTCGGTATTCAGCAAGACCTCCATGGCTGAATTGCGAACGAAGTCTTTGGTGCTTACTGCGTACGCGGAGCATCTTCTTGATGGTATCTTGGCAGACGATACCGGTAGCGAACCTTCATTCAGGGTTCTTACGCCTAGGAATGCCCACGAGAGAGGTGCTCAGCTGAGTGTCCTCCTTAAGGACGGCCTACTCGAACATGTCGTGGAAGCCTTTGTTGAGGAAGGAATCGTTTGTGATAAACGCAAGCCAGGAGTTATCCGTGTTGCGCCAGTGCCCTTGTATTGCACATTCCAGGATGTATGGAAGTTCATGGACACTCTGAGAAAGGCTATTGCTTGAAGTTCTCGATGAAAAGTTGCGGCCAACATAATAATGAGCCTCTATACTAATTAATAAAAGAAAGTTCGTTATCTACACGTAAACGCAGTGGCAAATCTTGTTCCACGACGTGTCTCAACACTTTTTAGCGCTCCACTACAGCAGCATCTCAGATCTGGCTGGTTTGGATTGATAGTCAGCCTGGAACGCAACGTATTATAAATGTGGCATGTCGATGCTCTGCAAGATCATGGTTACTAAGCTGAACAAGCCTTCACCAAGTATGAAGCCTGTAGCCGTGGAAATGAGGCGCGATTCCTTTTCTCGACCCCAGCGCCCAAGAACATAATGATGAATCAGACCTCCAATTCCTTGCGCCAAAATCATTTCAGGCATGATATACATGCCTGTGCTGTTAGTTAGGACTGAGATCCACCTAATTTTCGCAGTTTGACGTACCTGCAGCTAACGCAACACTGGATGGTATCCAATGAGACCAGCGACTGAGACGCCTGGAATGTTTCAAGATCTTGAATATAGCACCCAAAGCCGATGCAACTATGCCAAATTTGAGTAGCCCAGGTGGCATACCTCGGCCATACACTAGCCGAGCTGTTGAAATCAAGATGTGCGCCGATGGCATCGGAAAGTCTGTAGACGGAAAGCCGAGTATGTTGGTGTAAAGCCGGTAAACCAGCATCGATACCGCGGATCCAACCAACGATCCAATCACTTGTCCATAGAAAAGAGACATCGGTGGCGCATTGACGAGATGGCCCATCTTAAACTCGTCCATCATCTCTGCCGCTTGCCAGACGCTTGCTTCAACAACACCAGCAACGGCTAAGCTGAGTAAAATGGCGTTTGGATTTGTTGAAGGTATTAGGAAGGCGAACAGGAATTGCGGGATTTTAGCTATGGATGCCCGAAGCATTAGAGCCATTATCACCACAGGAGGTTGGAACAAATACAACATACCGATATAGGCCGCCCCTCCAGTCCCCGTTTCTCCGTAGCAGCGGATATTAACATGACTTAGCGGTAAGATTGTGAATACTGCCAACAATAAGGCTAATATTGGAACTGAAGACCCAAAAAGGACGACCATAGAAGCGAAGCATAAAAGTAGGCCGGCTAGTATCCAGATCAGATAGACTTTGGTTGTCAAACTGTCATCCCGGTAGTGTAAAGACCCAACGAGAGGCTGTGCTTCAGACCGTGATGAACTTCTGATCAGAGGCTCTGTATCCTCTTCATTGTCGGATTGGAGATGTCTTTTCAAGTATGCTGTGAGGCCCAGTAATTTTGGCACATAGACATTGAAGGAACGTAGGAGCATTGTCGAAAGAGTGATGGCTGTGTCGCCTAAAATCAGTGCAACTGCAATCCACATGATCCAACCTCTTGAGCCGCTTTCCCAGTCCGAGACAGAGCCAGGGGCCCATCCGTTGAATTTGGATAGAGGTGAAAGTATGCCCCACCCAATCAAGCATCCAACGACGATCCAAAGGGTTGTGACTGGAGGCACAATCAAGCCAATGGAGACATAGCCTGGGGATGTCGAGAGAGAAAAGAGCCATTCTCGAGCAATATAGTTGCCGAAGATATTTACGGTACGTATTTGAGGGATGAAATAAGCAGTGAGGGACTGCATTTGACGTCAGCAAGGCGAAAGGGTGGTCCAAGAAAATAGACGCTCACGTAAAGTGCCGCAAACAAGAATGTGATGAGAATGAGTTTGTTATTCTGGCTCCAACCATGTTGCACCATGCTATCGTCAGTATCAACTGAGTCTTCTACGAGCGATGGCTTTTGCTTGTCGTTAGTGCTATCCAAATGATTCTGAGCGCGGAGAATTCGATCCGCAATGTCAGTATCCCGATGTAATGATCCAATCATAGCTGCCGACGATGTTCCAAACGGGAATGGCAAAGGCTCTTGGACAAGAAACCGTTTTCGCAGTGGTAGGGTCACGGCAACACCCAGGATACTGACACCGATAGACCAAACAAAGAGTTGAACCCAGTCAAGTCGGAAAGGGCCATTTTCCGATTCGTTAGTGAGGAACTCCATGGCCGGCAAAATCCCGACAGATCCGATCGTAAAAGGCATCAAGCCCAACGAGCTCGCAATAACAACCATTGTCGCATGTTCTTGGGGGGTGAATGGAAAAGCTAAATGATCTTGGACCATTTTGAAGAAAGCAAAGCCCAGTATGGTTGAAGGAAGGCTCATAATGGCCAGGAAACCAGTACGAAGTCCGAAATATGTGTTGGAGAGGCATATTAAGAAGCCAACTATGATGCCGACGACCGTGGATCGGAGAGTTAGAGAGGAAGCGGGTTGTAGCATTGCTTGTTGCCTTGATCTCGAGGTAGAAGCTCTGCGGTGTCGTCGGCTGGCTGCTTCGATATCTCGAAATCCAGGCATGATCGCTTTCCCAAAGTACCTGCGAAGGAAACACGGGCAAGCTTTCGGTACTGGCCAAAAAGGTAGGAAGGTAGAACAGTTGTTACTTGTGGATAGGGAAGAGGCATGTAAAGGCCTTTCATTCCAGGTTCTATGAAAACCTAATCACATGCACAAAATCCATTCCCCATTCGCACTGATGCATCGGCACTGAGCTGGGGTTGTGTGTGGTGACACGGAGGCTACGTCATCGATATTCTCACATCATCCAGCATACCCACCCCATGGTACTGATTTGATGTTTTGCGGCCTCCGCCTCTAAACAGAGAAATGCAATAACGATCATGAAGCAAGCTGGGGTTTTGAAGATATTTACGGCGGAAATACCATATAAGACTCCATTATCTTCCAGCCGCAAAAGTGTACAAAACTCACTACACTAAAGTACATAAGGCGACTAGTCTCGCCGTGAGCAACGGCATTGCATAGGCTGTGTAGGGCGCGTAACAAGGAAACAGTTGCAGGCACAATGTATTCGGTCTGTATCTACGATATCGTTCAGCTAGGTGGTACAAAATACCAGGTAGCTGGGAAAGGGACCAGCTCTTGAGCCTTCCGTCCGCTCCTGTAGTATGATTCTATTTTCAAGCACACGAAGTCAACACTCGCCTCTCAAAGCACCTGCCCTTGTTATTCACCAGGAGTAACTATAATATGCCAGCCAAGAAATGCAATTGGCACAGCAGGAACATTACCTGGCTCGCTATTATCTGCAGCTTCAAACGCGACCGTACACGGTTCCACCCATCGCCAGTTTTTCTCTAGGGCTGTTTGTTAGTTTCGTATCATACAGAGCGAGATATTTGCATGGTGGTCTTTGAGACTGTAACACTATTGAATTCATAACAGCCCTGGACTGCACAGTCAATGAACCATGACGAATGCCTTAAGCCCTAGTCCGTAGCTCTCTGATCTTTTCATCGTTTATGAGTTGCTGAATGACTAGAATGCCAATCATGGTAACGCTCTAGGTACGTTTATGATGAGCAGCTGCTCATCTCAAACGTCTTTGTACTGACTGGAATACCATGATCAGATTCGCGTTACAAGCATAGTCAAGCCCCCACGGTCCTAAGAAGCCTAACAAAGGCGAAACTTTTGTCGACAACAATCAATACAGATATTAATCTCCGACGAACTACGCGTACACCTTGCGGGTTGCCCCGACCTAGCGGGGGTGTTGGGCCGCGACTAAACCTTCATCGCATGCCCTTCGGAGCAGAGGAAAGCCAGTCAGCGAGCTTGAGCTTGATTCAAAGAACACCATCCGCTTTGAGAAATTCGAGACAAAATGCCATAGGCACATGTAAGCTACTGTGGCTTGCTGTCGTTGCCTGCCGTGGGAGGGTCAGCAGAGCATATTCCGCCTATCATTAACCCCGCCAAAGTCCCGCAGGATCTCGATGGACCAGTCTGGGCGTAGCGCAAAGCGCGGCTTGGTCAGACGACACGAACAGGTGACGTCACCTCTATCGCTGTGTTGCGGATATTAATGCAACTGCTCTCCCCACGTGAATACTCAGTTGCGACACTGTTCTACCTATTGCCAACACCCACTCCACTGCTCATCACGACACCTATCAATTCGAATTAGGTCCCTCCATACCAGAAAGCTGTCCATCTTGACCACATACACCACGCTCTCGATAACGAACGAAATCACGATGCATAACGCAGTATTCACCCAGTTTCTCCTTCAGCTCTGCTTCGCGCTTTTGGCTGTCGCCGCGCCCGCATCCGATCCCGCTGTCGGCATAGCAGCTCACGGCAACACCTGGCAGTATGGCACTGGTGGCGGTATCCTTGGTTTCATAGTCCTTGTACTGGATATTATCGTGTTCCGTGAGTCTCCCTCCAGAACGGCGTCCTCGACAGCCAAATATCCCGTTGCTTGTGTACAGCTATGTTGTCTTTGCTAACAATTACCGTCCGCTTAGTTGAGGTCCTCAAGTCTGATCGACCCGTCAGTCACAAGGTGCTCTGGTGCCTGGTCGTCTTCCTTTTCCCAATCGTCGGAATGGTCATCTACTGGCTGTTCTCGAACCGCGCCGCCCACAACTCTCGCTCTGGATACGAGGCTGTCGCATAAAGGATGTCTTGATAAGTGCATTTTGCAGTTGGCACTGCTCAGGAGACTGGGGAAAGACACCTATTTTCTGCATTGTGACGAATGTCCGCACTAGTCATGGCGGTACATGTCAAGATGCCTGTGCCGATCACTCAAGGTCGATCGGGGTTGCGGGTATTACGGGGGCCAATGATGTCATCAATGCCTTCAGCACAGTGAAAGGATCGTGAATGGCTTCAGCTAGCCGTACCTATGTAATATGTCTTGTATGCGAACAGCATATGCGTGCGGATCGGCCAAGTACACAAGCTGCAATGGGTCCGCATCACTAAATCTGTGAAATGACAAAATTCAGTTTGATGTTTCAATAAGACGTGGCGATGCAGTGCAATTTGAAAGAATACTACATTGATGACACAATTTCGCCGCCTCTGAATAAGTGGTAACGTTGGTGGTTATTACATCAAAGAACACGGTGATCGCGATCAGAATACATTTTGGCACCCTGGCATTTTTATCGGGCTGAGTACGGGAGCTGCGGCGGTGGAGTCTCTTATGGGTGTGAGCAACACCCGTAAATACCATACTACTTTACGTATGTACGTGCGGAGTGAGAACGCGTCAGGAGGGATGATGGTTCAAACCTCTGAGCGCACGTCACTGGATTTGCCAGACCGCTTTACACTACAACTAAGAAATACTCTGTGCCTCGATACTTGCGTCTCATTGATGTTTCGCACGTGGTCGAGCTCGGACATTGCCCTTGACCAAATTGCATGTTTGGTGCAAACATGGGACGAGCGCTAAATTCACCACTGTCTGGATGGGCCTGAAACAGAGGTGGCTATGTTATCCGTTGTTTCGAGCTCATGAAACGCACGACTATGTGAGAACCCCTGGGATGTTTTGCAGGCCAAGATAGGCTCAAATCTCGCCAGAACTTCATTTTCTTCTCCCCTCACCTCTACATCATCAGCGATTACGAAGGTACGACGACGAAGCGGCCGCTATCGAGAACCTAAAAAGTGCCCAAAAGGTCCTTGGAACAAGCCACGATGGAGTCTAAACAGGAGGACCATGAGCCTTTCTTAGGCTTTCGCGACGACCCCAACAGGCGAACTTCCACCGAAGACGAGATGGAGAATGACAGCTCCCGCCGCCAACAAGAAGCTCTAAGAACATCACGGCATGGCAGGCTTCTTCGAGACGTCCTCGTATTTCTCGCGACATCTCTTCTATGGGTCGCAGCGTTCTACCTTCTAGTGCCCAATCCTATGAACCAGAAGATGGGCGGCAAGGTCACGAATGGAGAAGACGGGGAAAGCCGAACTCCAACATCGAGTGACTACATCGCAGCTTTCCACAATGTCACTTCCAACGCCGAATATATTTCTTGCGGAAATTCTACAGTCGAGGCGAAGAAGATGGGTTGCAAGTACGATACCCTACTGAATTATTGGGTTCCATCACAATGCTACGACCGAGAGTTCGAAACGGAATACAAAGATGACGATAGCTGGAATGCCTTCGCGGAGTATGTCAATTAATACGTACCCAAATTATTGTGTATTACAGCCATACTAACTAATACTTTGCTGTAGCCAAAACTTGACTCAGCCCATAGCCGCAGAATCAATGGGTGACCAGGAAGTCTATTATACGTCAATTCGGGATCATTTAAACCACTGTTCGATGCTTTGGAAAAAGCAATTTTGGACTCTTTTCGAGGAACGAACCGCGTTTGATGGCATAATTGTTAACTCCTTCCACACGGAGCATTGTGCCGACTTTCTCAAGGATATCTACGAATCAAACCGAACCGAGTCGACGCTTGTCAGGGTTGGCTTCTCAGGATGCTGGATTCGGAACAATAGTTAGGGTGTCTAGAAGAATATTGAAGAAGGATGCTCATAGCTGTCGTATCTACACACGCATCTACATGTCTAGATTGTATCAATCAGTGATCTTCAGCCTCGGCGAGTCATCATGGGCAGCCACGCACAAAAACGCAACATGGCTTGACGGAAAGTAGTCAAGACTTTAACGCAAAGAACCGTTTGATGGAGAGTGGCAAATTAGATCTTCGTGCCCGCAAGATGTGTGTGCCTGAGAAGCCAGCTTCCCGAACCAGGCTTCAGTTCCCTTGGCGGCGCACCTCTATACATTTACCAAGTCACGTCTTCACACTTCGAAAATCTTTATTTTTCTTCGCTGTACTGTTGATAAGAATGCGCAGTCCAATCAGAGTTTCTGTTCATGCAGCTTCCTAAAGTCCAATGTTGTGAAGAGGGGGGGGGGGGTTGTTTTCTTCTTCTTCTGGGTAACGTTTGGCTGGTATTGTGAAGGCTTGAACGTCTACAGCTTTTGACCATTGCCGATCTGGCGTTTCCCTTTTCTCGAGAAACCTATGTATAGCTGTTTCAAAATACACTCAAGCTTTGCCAGTCAATGTGCAGATCGCTATCGTCGAACTGGAGCTCATTCCAGTTTAACAACCCCCCGTCAGCCCCAGGCCAAACGTCAAAAGACCCTTGTTCGGTTACTGCGCGAGCTGGGGCCCAGGATGGCTCACCCTCCGTATATCCCTCCTGGTTGCCAGCGCTGACACTGCCTAGACTCTCTAAGCTAAAGAGCCTTGAGACGTAACGACTCCCTCCAGCATTGTTCGACTTCGAGCGACGCTCTGTGATGGCGGTAGCCAACGACGTCAATATTTCCAGGTAATGCGCCGCCTGTGGACTCTGGCCGGCAAGAAATTTTAAAACGTCCATGGCTCCTTGAAATGCTCTATCGGTCTCGAGATCGATGCTGACCCTTGCGAAGCACTCCACTCCAAGAATGAGTCCTGCAGAGAATACTAAAGCTCTGTGTGGGATGATTAGCATTTTCTCAGAGCGAACCTTGCGGAGAGAGAATAGATGCAGAAATTAAGACAATTGCATCTTACTTCAGGATACACATGCTTCTCTCGAGTAACCCAGCCTTTAGAGCATCAGCACACGTTTGTGCCAGATACACGGCAGCTTCGATGCACGCCGCGGCTAGAGGCGGATGGTGAATCTTGTTTCCTGCTTGACTGTTGACGGAGGAGATGAATAGCGGCCGTGTTGCCAGTGTGACAGCAAAATAATATAGACAAGATACATGGATCTTGGCAACGGCCATTCGGTTAGCTTTGACGGAATCTCCCAGAACTTCAGGCTGTTCCGGGCCTTCCAAGGGCATGAGGAGATGCCTTTTCCAGCTATCTATATTGACCAGAAGCTGCTCCACGACGGTAATCGTGATATCTTTACCGTGATATAAGGTGTTGTTGATATCATTGATGATTTCAACAATCTCACACGTTGCCACAAGATATTTCGATCCATAGTTGCAATCGGGTGCCAAATCCCCAATCAGAGGCCTAGCATCAGTTCCTGCCGTAGCGGCAGGCCGGCCTAAGAGAGAGCTAACAAGCTTGTCTAGAATTCGCACACTGATCCAGACTCTCGATCTTTAAAGCGATACGAATGTAAGTGAGGTACAACTAAATTTTAAAGATATGTTTGGGTTTGGGATGACTTACTTCAAAAGTCCACACTGATGGGACTTCGGCTCACACGTAAACATAGTCTGACTGTGAAGGCCTAGTGCAAGAGCAGCTCTTACAGCAATGGATATGTACATATACGCTGTATTCCTGCGGCAATTCCCAAGCATGTAGAATGCCATGAGTAAGAAAAGTCTGACCATGTCTAAGTCTGGATCTTCTAGCAGTCCAGAAAATGCTTGTTTCTGTGCTTTGCGAAAAAATGTGAAGCTGTGATCTTGAGCTTCTGGTGCGCTGCTGCACTGTGCCCCTATTGCCATTACCATGTCCCTGATGGCATCTGAGAGGTGCGATGAATGGTTCGATGGCCAAGCCGTCTTGTCAGCCGAAGTATTTTCGTCGAAGGGTGATGTAACTCCGATAGAGATGCTGTCGGTTAAGCACATTAACTCCCTTTGATCATCAGAGTCGAGAATGTTGATGAGACCTTCCGTCTGTGGCACGATACTTAGTTATATTCATATTTGAGCGCGTAGGTTCTCTTACGATTGTATAGTAACATTTCAAGTAATCGAGTCGTTGCTGACTGCCCAAGTCCACGGCCTCATCTGATGAGATCGACCGCCTTGCCTCCGGAGACTCGGCCTCGAGCATCGTCTCCATTCCATCATTGTGGGAGAAAGGTGAGGGGCCAATCTGTCTCACCACCACCTGTCGAACGGTTTGAAGGAACGAAATTGCTGCAGCACCTCCAACGAATACTTCAATGTGTACGTTTAAAGTCAGCAATCTCATAGCGGACCATTAGGTTGAGTAAACCACCCGAGAACTACCTACCTTGTTCACCGTGGGCACTCCGTAGTAATCTACTTGGATTGGCCAGTAGAGAGGATCCTGGCCGAGTATCCTCTCCGGTATGGGATTCTCGAGGAGGTGTCATGGGACTTTGATGCGCGTCAACACAGGGTTCTTCGGATCCTTGTTGAGAAACTGAAGGAGACATTGGAAATGGGTTCGGAGGCGGTTCCGTGTCAATCTCATTGTGCCGTTGCGGGCGAGTTTTTGATGACCCGGAAGCGGCTGTTGACACTGTGATAGAACCGTGCTCGAAGGATGCGCGTGATCTTCGCCCACCAGCAGTACTAGCCCGTGTAACTGAGGGCCTTTTCGTTCTTGAACCTCTGGGTAGATACGTCATGCGACAGTCAGGTTCAAGACCACGGCGAACACATTGGTTACAAGGTGCAGTGCCGCTGCACTTCTTCTTGGCTTCGCGGCAGAACCTGCATGCCTCAGCAGCACGCTGACGCTGGCTCTCGGGGACTTTGGGGCGAGGCATGATGTGAGAAGCACGAAAAGGTTGAAGACTTTCGTGGAGAGATGGAGATGCGTAAGCCCTCTACAAACGACCAGACGTCGGTCAGTCGAAGTCAACGGGGCCACCCAGTTTGTGTGGAGCAGCTGATAAGAGAGAGTTTATTACTGCAGTAGGCACATCGGTTGCCGGCTCCCGGACCCTGCACCCCCAACCCCGCGTCCCCACCCCCGCTCACAGTGCCCCTTTCGGAAGTTCCTAAATGGCTTCCGATGTTAGCACAACGAGAATTAGTTAGTAATTGCTGGTCAGCTGCCTCAGAAACCAGCTCTGATAAGCTATGACTTCAAGCTCGCCATGTCATTCCTCACGAACGTGAAGAGTCGCTCAGATAGTATTAACGTTTTCGGCAATCTTATACACTGATTAATCATACCATACCTAAGTACTCAATTTCGAGTCAGATTGATGCTCCTGTGCGCGAACAATGATCCTTCGTGAGTCTTGCCACATCCATGGGAAAATGGCTGTAATGTAGCCAGTCAATGGTGAAGTTACGAATCACAGATTGCCTGCTAGTGGCTCGTTATTACACATGGATGCATACTGAAGACTCGTATCTGGTATTTTGAAATTACTGCTTGTACTTGATAGGCCGCTTGCAAACCAACACGGTATTCACTGCCTCACCTTTGAGTCCATATATCTAATCCCACCTACAAAAGCTCAATCCAATAGTGACTTTACGCCTCACTGTCCTTGAAACCCGGCAGCTTGAACAGTTGCTTGGCGTTATCCCGCCCGATTTTCTTCTTGTCGTTATCATTGATGGGAAGAGCATCGTACCAATCGCATCCATCCGAGAAAGACTCGAAAGGGTAGTCAATCGAAAACAAGATGCGATCCGCTCCTACTTCAGCCATGCAGAACTGAAGAGTCGTGGTGGAGAAATGCCCACTGGTCGTGATCCACAAGTTGCTTGCAAAGTACTCGCGGATAGTTCGCTTGCAAGACAGCCCCAACGGCTTCTTCACATCCTCGAACCAGTGGTTGATGCGCCACATGTCGAATGGTATCTTCTCTCCTAGGTGGCCCAAGATAATTTGGAGCTTCGGATGGCGATCGAAAACACCATTTGTGACCATTCCGAGGACGTGAAGACTGACTCCCTGCGAAAAGCTCAATGGAGGTCCAATGAGCCATGAGCGCTTTGCCCATAGCTTTTCGTGAATGGTTCCGGTGGGATTTCTTGGGTGCAGGTAGAAAGGAACATCGAGTTCAGTCACTGTAGACCAGAAAACATCCCACTCCGGGCCGTCGTAGAAGATCATGTCGTCACCGTCAGGGCCTGCCCGCTGAGTGTCGTTGACAAGGGCGCCCAAAAAGCCGTACTCAGTTACACAACGCCTCAACTCTTCGGCAGCTTCCTTGGGGTCATGCATAGAAAGGGTTCTGACACAGGTTAGCCACAGAATGGTTCAGGTGCTTCCTCAAGCTAAATGACTCACGCAAACGCGCCGAAACGCTCAGGATGTTTCTTAACCTCGGGAGCAATGTAATCATTGATCTCTTTGGCCAACAACTGCGCTTCCTTTGGATCCCAGATGTCCTGAATTCCAGGTGCTGTGTACGATAGAATGGTGAACCCGACACCGTGTTTGTCCATGTAGTTGAGCCGAATGTCCGCAACGTCGGAGATTTCAGCTGCGTGCTTCTCGGGGTCGATGGCAAAAAGTCCTGCCCACCAACGTGTCTTCTCTTGAAACCGTGGGAGAGCAAAGGCTTCCTCAAGCGCAATTTTTCCGAGCATGATGGAGGATTTGCGGGGTTACAAGCTGTTAAGGTGATGGGAGCAGAGTCTGGCTGCTTATGTGACGTGCTGAGGGAGATGAACCAAGAGCAGGTAGTCAAAGTAGCAAAGGAATGAAGATACTTCCGCGTCTGATAGATTCTTGGGGTTCAGCGAGTGTTTAAATCTCGAGTTGATCATAGACACAAAGATAGATGGCCCTCTTAATCCGTAGCATGAGACGACGGCTTCGAGCAAGGCGCACTGTCGCGTACCGGGCCGCTCGGTTTCATCCCATTGCCTGCTTCGGAACAGATGGCATTAGGCCGATACCTTACGTACAACAGCCATAATGAGATCTACCGCCTGTCCTTTCGCTACTACTACGTATGTGTGCAGCGGATATGTCCTTTTGGAGAGCTGCCAACTACAGCCAGAGTTGGGGTCTGCGACACAGTGCGGGCTCAGAGCGGATACGACTCATACACCTTCTCATCTACCAAAGCACTTAATAAGCCACCAAGCTCACTTGCGGCTTACCTAGGGAACCATAGCCGATGGTGGCCATGAGCGATGCTGACCCCGCTTAGCCGAAACGAAAAGCTTCTTACTTAAGGTGGCCCGTAGCCGACAGGTCTGATATTTGCAGCATCTCCGCATCTAGCCGCTCGGATGCGCAGTTATGAAAGACCTAATCCCAATCTTCTCAACCACGTCGGATAATGCACTACTGATCGCTCCCCCGCCACGTTTGAGCACTCCAGCTGTTAGTTGGCAGCTTAGTGACGTGACTACGTGTACCTACCTGCATGATCCCATGAATTTGGCGGGCTACTCGGTAAATGGTGTCGCGGGATCGCGGTTCTGTTCAGCGCGGGAACCTCATGGCCGTGATAATTAATACCCTATGCTTGTGTCAGCGGCTAGAGAAGTAAATGCACCCGTGAGATTGCCTCCAGGGAAGTAAGGGAATGATCGCTTCCTGCTTGTTGGGTTTGTAGCTGGAACAGCGTCGCCATACTTCAAGATTTTACGCAGCGATTACATGCAAACTACAAAACCTTTTGGCTTATAGAACACTTCATGCGGTTTCCACAATCAATTTATACATACTTACTTTGTTTCATCGTTGCCTCAAAGCTCATATATTGCGCGACAGAAGTCTCCAATCCTCGCTCCTTGAACTCCACTATACAAGCCGGCAAGGAGACTTTGAGGTCCATTGTTACTTTTGTACATATGTCTGGCTGATTTGTCCTCTGTTATTGGCATCGACTTTTGAGAAGTAACTAATGCACATATCTTAGGGAAACTATAATGTGAATCCAAAGTATCAATGTACTAAAGACTTGTGTTGAAAATAGTCAATACGCAGTTCGAGGCCACTTTTGTGTATTAAGCCACATATCATAGTGGGTGCGCATGCTACTTGCTATTTAACGTTGCTGTTTCTGGTGATATGCATCTGGCATGCTCACGCCGGCAACATAATGTTTGAACATCCGAAACGAGGGCATTGTTAGAGTTGTCTCCCAAAGCAAGACAATCACAAGTTTACGAGGTCGTGGAGATAACTCTCTAACTCGTCCAGGATAATCTCAAACTCCTCAGTGGTTGAGAGTGAATCCAAACCGTTCGTCGCGAGGAATGTGGCACAAGAGATTGCATCGTTCACACGCATTGTATGACCGCGAGATTTACACATCTGAGATGCCACAATGGTTCGCATGATATTGATGATGATTGACGGAGATGAGGTATGCTGCCCCCATTGATTCAGAAACACATGCTTCGTGATTGGATCGCGACGAGCCAAATACATTGACGACACAGGCATCGGAAATACGCTGTTTTGATTGATTGGCATGTCAGTATGTTTCGCTAATACTTTGCCCGAGAGGCTAATGCTAATGCAGACGATGCAGGAACTCGTTTCCCCGCTGTCGATCTTCAGCGGCTTCAACTACCAGGTCCAAGCGTTTTGTCTAGATACGAGGAATGGGGCCTAAGCATCGGAAAACACTTGGGCTGATTGGTGCTTACGCCGCTAATTGCAAAAAGGTTTCGTTCCCCATCTGCGAGTTGCCTGTAATTCCAACAATGGGCGTGTCTTCTTCTACAGGTGACCACGATCCTAGATCCTCCACAATACTAGCCTCCGTAGTCATGGATCCAGAATACGGCAACATGACAACGATGAGGCCGAATATATAATATACTCAAGGTATTGCCCAAAGTTGACCTCACTGCACAGCACCATTCCAGCAACATTGTCAGCAACCTACATCGCAACACGGTATTTTTTGTTCACCGCAAGAATCGTCATACCTTCCTCTCCCATGATGGGGTTCACTATCATTCCGGCTTTTGTTATTGCATTTCTAGCCACTGTGAGCTTGGCAGCCCAGATATCGAACACCGCCGTACCTAAGCCTTGGAGCAATTTTAACAACAATGGCGTATTCTATCCAGAGCAGACCGCGACTAGCTGGAGAACTCTATATGGCCGCACTCTTCAGCTGCCTGACCAGTCTCTTCTCCTGTCTTGGGAAGACTATGACCCCGCGGCAACTTTGACTTACTTTCCCATCTACAAGTCAGAAGATGGCGGAGCGTCGTTTACTGCTTTCTCCAGAGTCGACGATCAGGTTAATGGCTGGGGAAACTGGTATCAGCCATTCCTCTACGAGCTTCCACAGCCATTCGGGGGGTTTCCACAAGGCACCATTCTCCTGGCCGGTGTCTCTACGCCACGCAATCTCTCACAGGCGTACATTGATTTGTATGCCAGCACCGATCAAGGAAAGGCGTGGACATTTGTCAGCCATATAGTCTACGGCCCTGGTCCGGAGACAATTGCCCAGGGGGACAAGGCAGTCTGGGAGCCTTTCTTGCTGATGCACGAAGGAGAGCTTGTGTGTTATTATTCCACTCAAGTCGATCCCGATCACAATCAAAAGCTTTCTCACAAAACAACCAAAGACCTGCGTCAATGGAGCGATGAAGTCGATGATGTCGCCCAGGCAGATGCAGGAGTACGGCCCGGCATGGCTACAGTGGCATATAGCCCCATCTCACAAAAGTATGTCATGACTTTTGAATACTGTGGCGGCCCTATCGCTGGCGGATGTCCAGTCTACTACAAGGTCTCCGACTCTCCTCTGAACTTTGGCTCTGCCGACCTTCAGCCCATTATTCCTGGGGACGGCCAGCTGAATCCTAATGGGAGCCCGTTCGTCATCTGGACTACGGAGCCTGGGACAAATGGCACGAGTGGTGTTTTCATCGCCAATGGAAGTAGTCGTGAGGAGGTGTTTGTGAATAGCGATGCCGTCGATCCAAACGGTTGGAAGGTAGTCAACGTCGGGCAGTGGTCAGCTTACTCCCGAGAACTTCGGATCATCGCCACCCCTGAGTCTAGCCCCTCAAACGGAGACCCTAAACTTCTTCTCACGAACGGGGGAAATGTTGGCTGCTCTGGAGATTGCTACAACTACGTCGCTAATGGCGTAGTGGATATACCCACCTACCATACCTAGAGAGGGGCGAGCCGAAGCAAGGAGACAATCTTGGATTTAATCGATTGATTCATAGAACCATGAACTCTCCAGTACAAGGGCTTCCGAGGTTTCTGTTGACGTAGCTCTTGCAAACTAGAGGTAGTAATCTTCCCCAAAGCATCATAGTGTTCGAGCTCAAGTACTAGAAATTTCTTCGTAACGTTTATCATGTAAACCGCTTAGCAACATAATGCGATGTAACCGACCATTTTGCGAAGCTCCAGATCCTTCAAACCGCGAATAATTCCGTATGATTGAATGATGAGTATGTGATCAAGTCTACAGGAACTACCTAATCAATGTTGAGAAAAGCCCATGACTTAATTCGGTTACATGGGACCCGATAGGTCGATGCCAATAGTTTCTAGCCCAACTTTCCCTGCTTCCTGAGTTGCATTGACACTTCAAATCGAAATCTATTTCTGTTGATGATGCTTGAGCATAGATTCTAATCTCTGACCCAAATGTTGACGACTCATCAATCAAGGTCGGACAAATGTCTCAGCCGGCGCTTGCTCGTGAGGCTGAATTTGGCGTCATTCCTGGTTTCCATCTCCTTTCCGTCTCTCATATTTCCGAATGGTCGTCTTTTTCTAACACTACTATGGCGCATCAGCATTTTGATGCCATCCAAATCATTGGTCAACGATCAAATGGTCTCCGTGACCATCTCCCTCAAGCTACCAGTCGTCCATTCGTCCTTTACTACCTACTCATGAGTGTGATCTCGCGGAGTGGTCGCGATTGGGTATCAACGTTTTCCAATTCCGCAAAGAAACTACGATTCAAGCAACTTTCTGTTTTCATACCATCTCTTGACTGTTTGTCGTAGTGTCTCCGCCGCTCCGGGAACAGGCCCGGGGGCTGGGGTAAGGGCGCTCGGCAACGCTAGTGGAAGTACGTACGGAGAAAACGTCTTTTCTGGGATTCCATCCCCGTTTGCTCCCCACAACCTCAAGCTGGCTGTCGAATCACGATGATGCATTCATCACGTGCCTGACAGTGCCAATGACACCCTGCTGAAATGAGCACAATGGCCCACGCAAGACAAATGAACGTAAACAAGATGATAAGAGCACGTGGCCGGTAATGACCGGGCCGATGGCTAACTATGATTGTATATAAGAAGGAATTGGCAGCTTATGTCGAATGCAAAAATCTCTTGTTGCACGGCACAGAAAAGGGATCACAATGGCACCCATCAAGCTTGGCTTGGTATGCCTCATGGCAATCCTGGTTGAGGGAAGTTCGAGATTCCTTGCGCCAGTTCAAGATATCAATTTACCGGCCAGTGAATCTGCTGAGCACCCTCTTGAACACTTGGGCGCAAACGGCCCTTGGTTCGCGGGTATATCTATCCACTTGGCCTTCCACTCGATGATTCAGCGCCGCTTACCTTCGATCACTTGTTAGGGCCCAACGTCAACGAGATATCATCCGAAATCCCGGAAAATTGTTACGTTGACCAAGCGGCGTATGTTTCTCGGCATGGATCAAGGTACCCAGACACTGGCGCTTACAATGGATGGGTCTCGATGCAGGAACGAGTCAGTAATATCTTTGTCTGCCATCTGAAGCATGGTCAATAATAGCTGAAACTTTATCGTGCAGTTTCATGCTGGAAACTATACTGCCTCTGGCAGCTTGAGCTTTTTGCCGCGGTGGCAAACAGCGCTAACTAATCCATCCTCTCAAATTGCTAATTTGAGTCCAACGGGTTACAAAGAGGCTCATGATCTTGGATACACTTTGCGAACCAGGTGAGTTCTACTCGATAGCATCCAAACCCAACAGAACACATGTGCTAATCGTGTTAGATATCCGGATCTCTACACTGAAGGCGAAGACTTCATGGTCTGGGCTAACAACTACTCTCGAGTCCTACAGACTGCCAAGTTGTTTGTTCGCGGTTTCTTGGGAACCAACGCCACCTTGCTCGGTGACATCGTGTCCGTGACATCTCGAGGCTTTGCCGCTGGCATTGGCGACTCATTGGCGCCTTCTGATATGTGCCCAGCTTTCAAGGATACGGAGGGAGGCGACTACGTGACTGCGTGGAACAACGTCTACATTCCTCCAATTCTAACCCGCCTGCAAGCACTCATCGATGGAAACCTCACGCTTACGCAAAGTGATGTGTCACAAATACCCTATCTTTGTGGTTTTGAAAGTCAGATCACCGGCCGCCTCTCACCTTGGTGTGATATCTTTTCGGACGAAGAATACCTCCAGTACGAGTACTTCCAGGACCTTCGCTACTACTACGGAGTCGGCCTTGGTACCGATGTGCCTCAGACCATGATGACCCCCTACCTCAACGCATTGATGGACATATTTGTTGAGGGGCCTTCGGTTACCGGCAAGCGCGAAGACGGGAGCACTTTCAATTTACCAAAGCTTCTCGTCTCCTTCCTCAATGATGGACAGCTCAACCAGTTAGTAGCCGCTTCAGGTGTATTTGACAAGCAGCAGCCTCTTTCAAGTACCCAAAAGGACGATAGCCGTCAATTCGTCAGCTCTCGCTTCACAACAATGCGGGGAACTATTGCATTTGAGAGGTTGAACTGTGCCGGGGCTGGAAACGCTACACATGGCAACTTCACCAATGTTGCCCGCCGGAATCCAACGAACAGAAGATCAACCTGCACGCAGCCATCACCCCCGATCCAAGACAGCTGGAATGCGACATATATTCGCATTCGTCTCAATGATGCTGTCTACCCAATACCTACTTGCAACAGCGGTCCTGGTTCTTCTTGTTTGCTGGAGCATTACAAGCAATACGTCGCCACGAAACTTGAGAACCAAGGTAATTGGATCCAGAACTGCAACGTAACCACACCTGGAGCACCAACAAAGGTCAAAGGTGCAAGTTTCTACACCGACCTTAGCAGCCCTTGGTTGAGCCATGTCGCTCCCTGAGGACGAGATGGTTAGGACCAAATTTGGACAAGCTTATTTCATTTCAATGTAATTAGGATATCTTCAAATTTTTTATAATCAAATAACATCTCTAAAAACTCAGCATAAGTGTTCAGATGCTTTACGGTTTTATATCTTTATTGTCAAGTGAAAGGCACTACTCAAACCCTTTACTCTCCTATTTGACATCCTAAGCGTTTGTTACTTTAGTTTCCGTGACCTACAAAAAGCAGAAGTTATTTTGAGAACTGATGCTAGATAATAGACTTCAGCACTGTTCGGTGCTGTAGCCATCATTCATACAATATTCTTGCCATGGATGCTAACTTGTCAACATGTCCTCCGCCCATCGAGCTTAACTGCAAGAGCGATGAAACTTCGACTGGCTTCTCTGCATTATTACCTTACTTTGATATGCATAACTTTAAGTGTATCAGAATCGTGCCTCAACTCGCGTTAGCTTACCATCGACGATATAAGTTTGTACCCAATCAGCATACCGGCTATTTCAAACGTTGAGGTAGCATTCAAGTCATAGTCACCCATCGACACATCAGGTTAATACGTCTCGAGTTTATAGCTTTCGACTTTTATAGCTTCTCTCTTCAAGTTTCACCATGCTCCTGCCGCTTATTGTCTTTCCGTGATATCTCGTCTCTGCCAGATGATTCCAATAAAGTTGCGAGACAAAAAGTCCCAACTCCCTACACAGAGAGGGAAGAGGGAAATTCTGCTTTTATATGACCTCATATATGAGACTCTTCCGACAAGCATGATTCAAGTAATTGGCGAATAGAGTACCATGTTACATTAGAGCTTTGCCAGCGCCTCTTTCTGTCACACTCATGTTCATCGGTTGTGAGGCTTATCGCCTTCCTTACTCGTTTGAAGTCGGTCTCAGCCGATAAAGATTGTAAGCGCGGACGCTGATCCTAACGTCATTCCCCACACCTTCTGAACTTTGACATAATGATCGCCGTGGGGTAGCGACAATGGATCAGGACTTCTGAAATGTGGGTTTCAGGCTGTCAATTGTGGCCAGTGAAGCATTCAAATGGGAGAAATGGCGATAGTTGCGTTGCTAGAGCCCTGTGGTATGCAGCGAAACATTCAAACTAGTCCTCTCCGTTCGCTAGTGCATCAGTTCTATCATTCCCAAGTGAAATCTACGCCTTCACTATCCACATACGTCGGGGGCAGAGGAGGCCATGGGCAAACTTTGTCCGAGTCACGTATACACACATTCAACCACGCAGAAACATTCATCTTGAGCAATCCTATTGGGTGCTACCTGGAGTTTGATTCTGAGCTTTTGCTTGAAACCGAGATTCCGATGTGTCTGGGCCAGGGACTGTTACGACTCGCACGTGGGTGATGTGCCAAGAGATCCCACGTTGACGAGGTATCAGGGTTCTGGTGCTTCCTGCCTGTGAACTCAATCAACCACATCGTTAGCGTGCTTTTTTACCAAAAGGCAAAAGCTTCGTCTGAGTTGCTTGAGTGGAACTCTCTCCAAGAGCTAATGCTGTTATTTGAATCAATGTCTGATGTACCCCTCCCAGCGAAAAAGGTATTGGGTTCCCTTACATGCATGTTCCTGGAGAATAGTTGCTCAGACTCAATTCATATCCCGAAGATCAAAGGCCGCGATCAAGCAAAACCTACACAGTCCAATACTATCATTGTCGAATCACCTCATTCTGGCAGCCACCTTCATAATTATCTTTTGGCTTTCACTCAATTCCGACGATCAATGCACTGATGCAGACAGCCTGTTCGACTCAAATCATCCACGTGCGATGACCACCCAACGAATAATGTCTTGAACATGGCAGAGCAACTGACGGATTCATGGCAGGATTAGGAAAACTTAATTTGTGCTGTCGCGCGAGCTGAATACTGCTTGTTGTAGCTCGACTCGCCCACTACCAAGCATAAGTAATGTCGACAGCACCCTCTTATGTCATTTGCCTGTCATATGATGCATGGTACACTTGTGTCAACTTCTTGAGCCCTCTCACCTAAATTTTTGTTATCAGCGTGCGAACTTCATCTCCTAGTCATTCGACACGCCTAAGATCATGGGCTGAGGCGCAGACTCTTTCGTTTCTGCAGGCGTAAAGTGTCACTTGTCACTATCTGCAGAGTACCGACCACCGTCACGAAGTTTGCGGCATCCTGAGGATTCGATTTATGAGAGGCATATGTCGCGAATATCATAGTCCTGTTGGCGGCTATAGGAGCGCATACCATGGCGGATAACATGGTAGGAGCGCTTGTTGGTTCGACGGTAGCCATGATATGTGTCACTACACTGGTTGTCTCGATACGAATGGCTGTTAGAACAAGTCTGAGAACTTACGGTCTCGATGACGGTATGTGACGTATGAGAGAGTCGGATTTGACCGAAATCACTAACTCGTGTATAGTTCTCATTACCGCTAGTTGGGTACGCCAGATCCGTTCGATCAGACCTACTCTGCGCAGAGGAGATGTTGATAAGTGTTGTTCTATAGGTTTTCGCGATGGGCATGTTCACTGCGACCATGGTCTGTGAGTTAACGCCTGACCATTACCCAGCAATTTACTTGACATGTGCGGTTGTCGAATGCTAACCAGCATGGGCAGCGGCCCATTCAGGATTTGGCAGGCATCGCCATGATGTCAGTATCTTAGAATACGAGCAGTTCCTCAAAGTGACCTATCCTCTCTGCGTTGCTGAAGATAGTTCATAGTAGCTGACCCGAAGAAAGTTGACCATCGCGACTTCGGCAACGTACAGCTACGGTCTAGCTCTCGCCAAAATGTCCTTCGCCGTTCTCTACATACGAATGCTCCCAGATCGAAGACTCGTGATGATGAACAGGGCCATAATTCTATTCCTCTGCGGTCAGGCCATCGAAGAGAGCCTCATTCCAATACTCCAATGTAAACCGATTGCGAAAGCCTGGACGGTAGGTATGGAAGGGAGCTGTCTTGACCTCCCGGTATTATGGTGGAGCGGCGTAAGTGAAAAGTCTAGTCTCAACCCTGATGTCGGTATGTGAGTGAACAAGATATCAAACTGACTGCTGGATATATCAGTTTGGATTCAATCTCTGCACTGACTTGATCTTATTCATACAGCCAGTTCCTACGTTATGGAAGTTGCAACTGCCGCTAGTGAAAAGACTTGGCCTCATCGCCATGTTATCATTGGGTTTATTGTGAGTGCGACATGTATTTTTGAACTTCGCAAGTTGCTTGGAGGAAACTGGACTCGAGAACATGTTCTGACCCATCGCTAGGGTTGTCGCTATTTCTGTGATTCGCATGCACTCCGTCACCGAGATGGGAATTGACGATACACGTGAGCAATCTATCTCTTCAAGACTAATCGTAGGAGCTAAAACATATTGCCAAAGATGATCTCGCAACCCCAATATTGTGGTCTGAAGCAGAGATCAGCACCTTGATCGTTTGTTCATGTGTGCCTTCCTTACGAAAGGTTGTCCAAAAGTTGCCATGCTCATACCAACCATTTGGTATAGCTAGCATCGACACGCTGCCACGGGGCATCGAAACCATTGGCCAAACAAGACGGAAAGCACGACTCACGTCGAAGTACGGCAGCGGCCGTGAAAGATACTACTCTATCGGGTCAGGTTCTACAGGCAGGACCCTGAGATATCCTTTGAGTGTACTGAGTCGGCCCGGCAAGGCTTCGTCCGACGCAAGAGAGGCACCGCAGGAGACGCTACGCATCGGTGTCACAGGCGACGTCAATAGCATTGCCATTCTACGAAAACTTGAACTGGAGCTAGACTGCGACGTAGAGCGCAGTGCGGGAGATACGCTCAACGTACCCGAAGAGACATACTTTCCAATGGGGGGAATTGGGAATGAAAAAGTGAGAGCCGACGGTACATAGAATTAGAAATTATACCAAGAGATAAGTTATCACCGTGTCGGATCCGATCCGAGTTCTTGAGTAGGTGTGAGAAGTGGAGGCCCGGACTAGGCTAGTGAACGGACCGTGCGGAAGAGTGATTCGGGAAATACGGATCTCAACCGGCAGCCTTTTCCGGGCTACCGATAATCAATGACGTATAGAATCCCTCTAAAGTAGTGGCAGTCGCACGTGGAATCAATAGGGAGTTGGCGTCATGAGCTTTATAACTTTAATGAAATCACCGGAGCGTCGGAGGTCGGTGGTCTGTAGTGCCCGAGCTCGAGGCTTTGTACTACTCAGCTACCACTGACGCACGACTCCAATTGCAAGCGTCATGGGGGGAGGCCATTCTTCGTCAACCCAATAAGACCATCTCCATGACCACAATTTTGTGAGTACCAAGAATCAGGGCTTTGCATCTTCAAACTAAGTATCCGAAATTTACCTGTACAACATTGCTCGCCGACATCCACAACATGGGCGTCTCACTGTCTACTGCCAAATGGTTGGCTCCGCTGTCCTTTGCTGTCGACTTTGCAGCTCAAAACTATGGCATGCTTAGCACTCCCAACATGAAGGATGTTCACGATGCCAACCTGTCATTTTGGTCGCCTCAGCCTTTCTTCATTGCTGGATTCTTCTTCCCTCAGCAACTTTTCCAGCTTGCCTGGCTATATCGCCTATACAAGGCAGACCCCAAAGTAGAGCCGATGGCCTCCGATGTAGGCACTATGGTTGACTTTGCCCCCTTCTACGCTGTCGGAAACTTTTGCATTGCTAGTGAGTAGCAATCTTTGCCCCTCTTTCTGCCTTTTGAGTTGTGCTGATTGTCTTCAAAAGCATGGATGATCTTCTGGAACAAATCCGACCTGAAGGTTGCAAACATCTTCGTCGTCATTAATAGCCTTGCCCAACTGTACTTCATTTTCAATCGTCTTCCGCCCATGAACACCAAGTCTGTCAATTCGGTTCTCACCCATGTCGTTGCCAAAACCTTTGCTGGTATCGGCGTCTTGGATCTGTTACACAACGGCTCGGTTGCATACTTTGTTCACCAGCAGCCATCTACCACTGTCAAGGTTCTCACCGGAGTAGGCTTCGGATTGTTGTCAAGCATTAGTGATTGGATCTTTGGGGGCTGTCTAGTCTATGACCTAATTGCGCTGTCAGTCGGTCAATCAGCCTATGGCAATGCCGGTTGGAGCAGGCTCCTCGGGATCTACGCCGGCGGAGCTGCAGCCATTGTTGGCGCGTGTAACCTCCTGAGGTAAGACCTTGATCAAAACCAGTGAAAGAGACTGTTGCTAACTTTGCAAGGCCGCCATATGTTAGTCAATCTACAGCCGGATACCAGCCTCTTTAGAGCGTTCGGTTGGCCACGTGGATGTGTCTGCAAGCCACCTCACAGGAGAATGGGATCGGATATGCACTTGTATTAATAGCACTCGTGATTTTATGAGGTATCGTTGTATTCCCTTTGGGACACAATTCTCATGCCTGTTGCCAATCGTATTGAAATATTGAATTGGAGACAATCATAACCAAATTGCCATCTTGTTCAACGCCAATAGCCAAGTCCCACTTTTACCTCTTCAATTCTATGTGGTATCAGCCATGCTCCACACCTGCTAACGCCTTTGAATACGCCTCGATGTGCCCCCAAAAATGCTGCAAGCCATGTCAATCATCTCGTGGGCGCCCAATTGGACAGCCATTCTCGCGCTTTATCCAAATCTCCCGAGCTGGCTTCGCATGCCGCTATGCACCACTCAAAGTCCCATACACCCTCACTCGCGAGTAATTCCGCTAATCTCCTCCGTCGTTGTGAAGCCTCATCGACACAAAAGTGCATGGGCTCTTTCATCTCGGGAATGCTTTGCACGAGGGGCTTCACGAGCGGAAGAGCGGTCTGCGCGCTGCCACCCTTTGCATCAAGTCCAAGGTTTATCCTCCCTGACTTGCACCACTCGTTTCCACACCACTTCTTACCACAACCGGTCATCAGCTGGCTGAGATATCTTCTCTCGATACGTCGCCGGAGCGCTTTGCCCTCTGGGTCATGCATGCTGACGTAGAGGGGGCCGAAGCACAGCGAGCAGAGACCCAGATCGTTACCGGGTCCCTGACCCATTGCTGTTCCGGCACCAACAACTCCAGCAGATCCGACGCCATGTAGGGTGCGACCACAGTTGATGTTGCGGCAAGTGTCGGGCTTTCTTCGAGAGATTTTGTCTAACTCGTGGTGCTTCATATGGGCTGACATATCTCGCATCCGTACGATCTTTCCACACAAGTGGCAGTCGGTGGTTCTCGCGCCGTCTGCTAGCTCATGCGAAGTCAAGCCGGACAAGATTGTTTCTGCCGATGGATTGAACGGATCCCCCTCTTGCGGTACCTCGAGGTGACAAAACTGGCAAAGAATGAGTTTGCCAGGGCAGACACTGGTGCGATGTAGCGCCAATTCCACCAAGGATGAAGCAGTGTATTCGCAACCAAGACACTGCTGTTCAGTGTGACGCACGGCATCGTGTTTGGCCTTGCTCGCCGGTGAATCTCCAAAAGCATCGTCATGCTCGCAGTGCCAGTGAGCTTCCCACTCTTCCGACGCTTTCTTGAAGACACGTTTACACTTGGGGCAGGCAACGTTATTTCGAAGACAGAAGTTTTGATGCAAGACCATTGTCCGCTGAGGAATCCACTGCAGACAATTCGTACACTGCTCTTCGTCTGGAGACCTAGAGTCCCCGCGTCCCGAGTCAAAAGGCACATCTTTTGATGCTTCCCCCGCCTCAGCTCTTACCCTGAGTTGAAAGGATGCTGGGTCTGGGACTTGATCGTTGCCTATCAGTGGATAGCAATAGATTGAAACGAGAAGCTCTTCAGCAGTCTCCATTTCGACATTCGTGGGTTGTATAGTGATGAACTTGATGCCGTCTTCAGCAGGATTGAAGTTGCCAAAGACATACTCGGAATCTCGCGGTCGTGCTCGCTGTCGTGCTGATCTCGGACTGACGAACAGGTCGATACGATCAGGGTGAGGGAGTTTGGAAAGCTCAATCGTCAAGGGCCGAGTCCGATCCCAAGAGGGTAATTCGTAGTCGATGTACTCCCCCTGCAAAACCTGGCCGTTGACAGGTTTCCACACGTCAATCTCACCTCCGATTGAGCTACCATTGGAATCACCAGGCTGGACTTTGGCCATAATCTGGCGCATAGTCTCGCGAGCCTGCTCCTCGTTCAAAGCCTCAATGTCCACCTCCAGATCCGTATCAACCACGCAAATGCCGTCACCTTCTGGTAAGAATTTATCGACGAGGAACTTGAAGTCTTCGCCCTTGACGCCGCGCACAGACAGGACCGTTTCCTTTGTGAGTGTTGTGTAGCTTTCGCGCAGCTGGCGTTCGAGAAGTGACTTCCAGTCGTCGGGATCATAGCCGGCTTCGAGTGGTCTCAGCCGGACGTAGGTGCCCTTGGGTAGTTGCTTGGCGTGGACCATCAAGCGTGGTTCAGTATCGAGAACCATGCCGGATGTCGATTCGGATGGCTCTTTTGGGAGGGAATCGACAGAAAAGTCAGTAGGGAGTAGCCCTAAAGCATCTATGAGATATGGGCCCAGCGCAATTTCCCCTTCCTCGGCCGAAAACTCGCGGATGCCAGCGTATACAGTATTTCCGTTCTTTTGGTTGACCAGGCGAAACATTAAAGGGTTCGGCAGTTGCTGGGAGGTTTCATGATAGGGGCTGTGCTGCTGTCGCGCGTATGGATTGAAGGGGTCGTAGGAAGTGAAGGTCGAATTGGAGGGCGCGGGTGGTCTCGGGGACGCTGCGAGCAGTTGTTCGAGGGCGGATTGAGGAAGCAGGATCTTGTCACCGCGCAAGTCTCTCGAAGCAGATTTGATGGGAGGCACGACCGCAAATGGTGCAGACCACTTCAGCTCGGGTTGTTCGTTCTCCATACTGGCGTAGCGGAGTCTCGTCCAAGTCAGAGTAGGGTAGTAATCTTGGGTAAGGTATCGTAGGTCTCGTTGTTCGACGCGTCGGCCGTCGCTGAGGGTAAGGTGGGGTGGAGGGGTAACGGTTATCTGCTCAAAGGACTGTTGATCGAGTTGCTGTGTGTGGGCATGGCCGGTGGATTGCAGTTGAGGTAGCCCAAGCCGTGAAAAGGCATCTGTAGAAAGTACAGCAAGTAAATTCCAGGGTAGAATTTGTGTTGTTATTTGGGAAGCATCATGGCGACAGTGTCGATGAATCAGCAGGCTGGTTGGATTCTTCTAGATTCCACCCACAGTACCTGATTACAACGAGCTCCAGGTTGACTCGCTGACGACATGATGTGGGCCGCTTCTCGCAATGGAGAAAGCCGAATGAGAGACCTAAAGGCTAAGGTAAGGTACATAGATCTGCGCCACATGTCCCTAACCCCATTCTGGTCAGCTCGCGCCACAATCTCTTATCTGATTCTCCGCCAACCGCAGGTACGTACCTTACCTTACCTAAGGTAAGGTAGGTAAGGTATCTCAGGTAGGAGTTCTGTGCTACTTACCTAAGGTCAGCAGCACTGAGGTGGTCGGATCCGGGACAGTTTGGCCGACCGCCGACCTAAGGTGGGACCCGACGATAGCGACGAGAGAAATGCTTACTAAACACATTTCACGGTGCTACTCCCAGGCCCCCAAGCCTCCAAGAGTCCAAATGGGAAGCTTCTCAGACCTTCTCAATTTACAAAAACGAGTCCATGGGCATTGGCACATTGCCGGTTCAACAATCTTCTGCGCACGCCCTCGACTAACACTCTACGCGCAATCAAAAAAGCCAAGACAAAACCAATACCACTCAACCAATGCCAAATAAAGCTGAATCATGATGTGCGTCTGCCAAGAAGCTTCATATCCCAACTCGCCAAACACTTGAACCACTGAGCACTCAACAACTGCAACGCAACCTGAGTCCTTGACACCTCGTGCTTCTACTATTGGGTTCCCCATTCACCAAAACCAGCAGAAACAAATGTGGCCAAAACTCCCGACTCCGCGACTCCGGACTGTCACTCCGTGCCCCCCGGAGCAGGGCTGGCTAGCGGATCAGCGCGCCGAAACAGCACCCAAAATAGGCATGGGAACCCCCTCTAGCCTACCATCTATCAACTACCAGTTGTGTAGGTATGTATGGAGTGCGGAGTACACAAGAGGTAATCAGGTATGGATACCCGCGACTCGCAGCTCCCTGTGTTTCCCCAGCTTGCTCGACACTATCCAACGTCTTCGCAGCAACTCGCAACTCCGTACCGAGCAATGAGGCATACGGGACCTCTCGAGGCAGAGGCACGCACAGGCGTGCACGCACAGTCGCTCCGCTGCGAGTCGCAACTTCAGGCTGAGGCAGCATGACCCGAGATACGCAAAGCGGTCACAATGAAATGAGCAGTTCGAGTCGAACGCCGGCCAAGGAACGTCCCGCTGTGCTAGGGCCCCATCTTATCGGTGGTTGACAGCCAAAAGTCAAAGGCGGCACCACTAGAGCCTGGAGGAGTGTAGTCCTGTACGGACCATGGGTGGCCACCCGTGAGACTGCCAGAGTGGCAGCGCAGAGCACCGGAGCGGAAACAGCTCAACTGACATCTTGTTATTACCCCACGAAACGCTTTCGTTGATACCGAATAGTGCAATCCTACGAAGCGAAACTGCTGTGCCATGTGCAGCCTACTATATGTAAGGTTGGAATGCCTCTCACCTATGGCTCGGTAACCTTGGGGATGGGATCGAAGTCACCATTTCCGGCAAAACCATCCCCAACCAAGCTTTGTCACTTGATTCGGCCAAGAACACCGAACAGCGAACCAGCAACAAAAGCTTGCGCTGCCGCAGTCGTGCTGTTGTGCAGATGGTGGTGGGCTTCAACAAGCACCCTAACCAGCCAGGCCAGCGATCCTCGCACAGTCATGGCAGGTTTAAGCGGTTGGAGCGGCTAATTTGGTCATGTAACACTTTCAAGACATGCCCAGCTCGACAACCTTCATTGGAGCTTGGACTCCGCAGACCTCTTTCTTGCGCGGGATGGAGTTCGATGGGGCGGGATGAGATGAGAGCGCCATCCTGATCTTGACGAGGGAGTCAAGAAACTGCGCTTGTATCCGTACGTGACCGTACATAGTGATAGGCAGGATGATGCTCAGCGTGACCGGGGAGACCTGTTCTTGTCTCTCTATAGCCGTACGAATGTCGCGCAATCATTTCACAGATCCTCCCGGTTATCTCGGACGAGACAGCGCGGTTATGCGCATCTGGGCTCACTCGACAGTAAACCCCCATCGAGTCCACTTCGTAGACAATCCAACATTGTTAGATCTGCAATCTCGGTTTTCGGTGTCTCTTTTCTGACGATTGAATGTCAACACACCTGACCTAGTGTAGCATCATACTTTATTGTAGCCTGTAGGTACGGAGTACGCCTCATCAACTCGTCTCATCTCATCGCACCGCTCCAGAACTCAACAACACACCGTTACTCGGATCATCACCCCCAATCCTCCCCCACCCCCTTTTCACAAACCTTCGGACCTTCACCCAAGGTTCAAGCAGTTTCCTTACACATCACTCCCCATCCAGTGCCTCACAATTCGGTCCGTACCTTATTGGCTTTCCTGACTCTACGTATACCCTCTCTCTCTCTCTCTCTTCCCGAGCTCCCGCTCAACGTCAGCAAGGGCGCATAAACGCCTGCATGCTTGGCACGGAGTAAGGTACCGAGTAGCAAAACGCGACAGACGGATACTTTGGAGAGATTCTCAGCATCAACGTGCCAGCGCAGTGGACCTTCTCTGTTGCTCTGCAGTCGCCAAGACCGCACCAGGCGGCGGGTTGAAGCTCTTCCGTTTCAACCGCACTATTCTTTGCCCCCCGTCTGCCACAAATGGCTCCATTGACTGGACACGGCCGATCTTCTCTTTCAGGGTCCGACGGTCGACCCAACCGGGCCAACCCCAGATGGATGCTACACGGTTACACTACCACCCACGCTACCACCTTCTGCCGATAATACCTGCCCTGCAAGCTTCTGGGGAAACCAAAGGCGAGCAACAAGTAGATAGTGGGAACACTTGTGACTCCTGCGTCTCTACCTGCCCTCCGCTATTCGCTCTGTGCCAGCCACTACGGTGCGAAGGCCCGGATGGGAGGGGGAGGGACGTGGGTAGGTAGCTCTGGGACGTGGATGATGGCACGGGGCGGGTGCGTGGGCAATCTGGACGACCGTCCACTTGGACCTTGGACCGGTCTAGCCTGCACAGCTCTAGCCTGCCCGTGCTGCATTTCTCGGCGCATCTTGTTGACTGTATGTACGCCGCGGTTGACCCCCAAGGTCCCTTGCTCGATGTACATCTAGGTAATGCTTCCAAAGTTCCCTGTCTCGCCTTGCTTGACGGCGTGACGGGGTACCTCTTCACCGCAAAGCTAAGGATAGACACTCCCACGTTTCTTGTCTTGCCCAGGCACTACGTAGCCCACCGTCCTCTCTCTCGTACCGGCCAGGGCTCGATGCTGTAGATATTTAGACCGACACGTCGTCCGCCCCAAGACGTCTCTGGCCTGGCAGTCTGAATATCTACCTTGCCAAGCCGAAAGCTCTTATCTTTCCATGTAAACAGTGAGCATCATCAGTCTGACCAAGTCCCGATTGCGATTGCGCTTACGATCGAGTTCTGCCCGTCCTCCCTTGACGGCCATCCTCCCACCTACTTAGCTTTCTGGCTCTCGGCCTCTCTTTTCCCATCTCACAATAACACCCTCACCACTCCTTAACCTCCAGACTGATCGCCGCGGACCCTCGAGGTTTACGGCCGTCGCGTAATACCTCGTCTCTGCTCCCACGATTCCACCCTTCGCGCGCGTTCGCCGTAACATGCTCCAGGACGTCGAGGACGCCTACACGCTTTACCAGAATTCGGTCACCAATCTCCTCCATCTTCTGTCTAATCCTCTCATCCTCGCCCACACAGCTCCTCACCTCTCCGCTTATGACCGTCTGAGTCTTGCCTCCACGAGCCGAGCATTCCGAGAACTGATCAAACACACCTCTGGCGTATTCCGCCATCTTGATCTGACCCACGTACGCGCGGCGCAGTTTGAAATCGACGGCATTGATCGCGGTGGTGAAGTCTGGCGCAATGTCCAACTTGATGAGAATCTGACCGAAGATGAGTGCGTCCACTCGACCTTACTCCACTCCACCTCCTACCACCGTCGGTGACATTCTTCTCCCTAATAGCCCCCCTCCCCCGGTCGCGGCCAGTTAGACGCGGTGGGGATGCCGGAGAGGGCCGATGGTGGTGCCGTAGAACGACTCGACTAACGCGCCATTCTCACCAGTTTTTACTCCGGTCCGCTGAGAGGCATCTTCTCAGGCATCCGCCGACAGAACATACTTCAAGATGTCCAGACGCTGATCTTAGACGGCTTGTCCGTGACGGCTGAGCTCTGCCACGAAATCATTCTCGACCCCTCCTACAGTGTGCGACTCTTATCCATTCGCGGCGTCAAGAACCTGAACGAGCGAAAGCTGTGCGCATCTCTTCAGTATGCCTGCAGACCGTCGCGGCCAGAGGGTATGCCCCGGCTGAAGAGTCTCTACGTTTTCGGTGCCAAGGACACTCCGCTGCCCTCGTTAGCAGCACCCGGTGTATCCTCTGGCACCGCCTCGCACGCAGCGCAGATCAGCGCAGGGTGGAATGCCAAGTCGCAGCAGGCGTTGACATCATCGCTTCGAAGCGAGGAAGAGGACTGGTATCATAGGAAAGGCCGCATCATCGCACGCCCGCTGGTCGAGGAGTGGGCCAACACTCTGGTTGACTGCCACGGCATCATTGCCTTTGATGCAGTTGCTTGCACCGGGCCTCACCATATGAACTCGCCTGCTTACGGCAAGGTAAGAACCCCGGCCTCAGCCCGGCACTGGGCCGTGGCGACAGTCGCCCTGGGCGGCTGTGCCAGTTGCGGTGCTGCACCCGAAGGCATGTCAGTCCATGGCGGGACTCCGGCGATTCAACGTCCTCTCCTGTCCCCTCCGCCTCTCCTAGCATCGTCAGTCAAGGCCGCAACGGCACCGCAGCTCTGCACCGGATCGAAAACGTCCTTCGTCGCTCGATGCATCGACTGCCTGCGAGAGAGATACTGCGCGGGCTGCAACAAGTGGTGGTGCGAGGAATGTTACCAGACACCCAGCGCCGTGACCGAGCTGGCCGACACCGATGTGATCGTCGTCGACGCCGAGGGCGGTGCTTGGGTCCAGCACCAAGAGCACGAGAGCCAGCCCAAGATTAAGGTACGAAATGGCGCCTGCTTCCCAGACTGCACCACGGGCGAGGTCATTGATGCGCAGAGGGTGTTGCTGGGCTGAGTCGGACGTCCTTTTGCCGTCTGGCCCGGCCTATTACAAAGTGTATGCCACAATGCTATTCATCGTCCTCCCCTTCCTCGTCCCCCTTGACTTCCTGTTATCTAGCGAAGAGTATGCGTCATGATCGGGAACCCGATGATGCTAACACAGGTTATCAACCTTAGCCTCGTATCACAAAAAGCTGCTGGGAATGCGGTAGCAATGTAAGTGGCGATTCTGGACCCAAGTTCTCCGTCGACGAGACCCGAGCTGATGGCAAGGAAACAGTGTCACGACTGTATTGATCGTACACAGAGGCTCTGTAGAGGCTGCTGCGGTGGCTACTGCTTGGTTCACAACGAGGGGTCAACCTCAACTTTCGTAAGACCGCCTCTGATGAACGGTATCTCTTGTGGCTTGGCTAACATTCACAGTGTGACTGTCCGATCCCCGCAACCTCGTTGACGCGTTCAGATCGCTAACTCTTTCGGTAGGGTGCTCGAGCCGTGGTCGCTTCTTGCGACACCTTTAAGGAGGTGTCATCCGGGCGAAACGACAGACGCCGATCGTCGGTCAATCACCGCAACCCACGGGGCTTAAGACCAACTGAAGCTGAAGGCTAGTGGCACTCTCGGGATTGAAAAATTCCATGACCTTTCTCATACTTTCATCATCAGGCGCGGCAAAGCTCCGCTCCCAAGGGCTTCTCGTCAGCTTTGGATCACGATTTACAGCCTGTCTCGCAAGGCCAACTTGTGTACTGTTTGATTTTCTGCATGGGCTATATTCACAGAGCCGGCGAGCTCTCGTCACGTCACTAAGCGCTTTCATCGTTTGTGAGATACCCTTGAAGCAAAGCGTTTGAGGCGTTGATTGCCAATGGTTCAGCGGTATAGACGACCTTTGACCTCAATCCCAACTCTTTTACACCTGCTTGTTGTGTCCCGCTTCTAACCAGATTGTGTTGTGATGGTGAGACCCGAACAGGTGACGTCCACAGGCGGTTGTTTGGATCTGACTGTAATGCCCGTTTATGGGCGAGATGATCACCATCATTGTGTTCCCGCAAGTGAGCCTCTTTTCTCGGGCTTTAGTCAGTCTCAGTCGTCCATGTCGTCTCCTCGATTCTTCCTCCTGCTGATTCAAGTCAGATCAAGTTCCGTGATCGTCACCGAACGATGTCTTCCTTCTCGACGCGATATGCCGTTAGGGAGATGCTAGAGATGCCTCCGCTACATCGTTATGTCACCCAGCTGAACAATCTGGTCATTTTCGGGAATAGACAATGTGTTTCACAGGCATTTGGCATGACAGTTTGCCTCAAACTTCAATCGTCGTCACGAGCCACAAACCTCGGCCCATCCGTTGATGCTTCCAGATGAGTTTGGTGAAAGTATACAGGCCCTAGTGAGATGTTGAACGCCTACCATAGGCCTGGGCTGATAGGCTGTAAGGTAGATTCCGACCTCGGCCGTCACCTCGACTATGAGCCTCTCTAAGAGCCAAACTTGAATGCGCGCAAAGGTCAAGACCCTTCTGTCCGTATCATCCGATGAGATGAGATGGTTCAATGACCAAGTGGAAGAATAGAGCTATACGACATCATGGAAGTAGGGCCTTATCGAGTAGCTGAAAATTACGTAGGGGAAAGCTTGCTGTACAAGATAGAAAAGCCGGCAAGTGACTGTATCACGAGCTTACTTGGACGAATACATCAGTGCCTGCCTTGCTCTCCGCTCTTTTTCGGGCGCAACTTTGTCATCTGGGACGACCCTGTGGACATTTCAGGTCACACGCGGAGTTGAAACTATTTGTTTATAGCACATCTTCAATGATGACATGAATTCGCAGCCAGAAAAGATTGAAGGAACGATTGGAAGCTCCCGACAGGAATGGCATTGTCATTAGTCCTTGTGTTATTATGCCAAGCCCGAGGAGATCCTTTTTTCGAGTGCCCGTTGTAGCCACAGTCACTGTGTCCGTCCTGGTCGGTTGGACAGAATTGCCCTGCCTCTCACTGGTGCAAGCATTTACCAGCTGTGAAAGGACGTGGCAAGTCGCACCGTCTCCTAGCACAGAATATTCAGGGTTTCTGTGCTTTCTCAGGGTCCTCCTATTCCCAAGACCCTGCCTCGTCTCCCTCCATTCTCTTGTCAGACGACATGTAGGTCGTTTGTCGATCGTGCGCTGCGTGGGGAGGAATTCGTGATCACATACCCAGGATAACGGCATTAGCCTCGAGAAAGCCAGACGGAGATCCCAGTAGATGGCTTTCTATGCCTTCTTGCTTTGTCCTATTGGCCTATACTTCAAGCGGAGACTGCTCCGTTACCATGGTACTCCCTGAAGCCTCGTGATACTTCCAAGGATCTAGGCGTCCTATCTGGCCACTGAATTGAGCCTGACGAGCTAGTATAAGTTCGCCTTGTCCTGGTTCGCCGGAGGGAGGACGATCGATCTCGAAACGGCATCTCCCAGACATACTTGGGCGCCTTCTGGACGCCTTAACCTTATCCACCTCGTCCAACATGGCCATTTCCGCCCCGTCGCCAACCCGGCTTCTCCTGTCACTGTGTCTATTTGCCGCCTTCATTAACGCCACAGACGACACACTGTACCCAGATCTTGTTCGATCGCTAAGAACAAGTCCAACAGAACTTGATAAGCTGAATATTCTACCCGAAGATAGAGACTGGACATTCAACTACTTCGCCCACGAATTCCACACCAACAGCCCTGGGGGCGTCGTCAACGCCAATGCCGCGACTTTCCCAGCAACTGTTGGCAATGGTATGACCATGGCTTGGATCAGTCTTGGTCCCTGCGCTATGCTGCCGCCGCATTACCACCCTCGTGCTTCCAACTATGTGGTTTCCGTCGAGGGCAATACCGAGACCTACATGACGCTGGAGAACGGGGCTCGGGTGGTGAAGACAACTTTGGCGCCCGGAATGATGACAATCTTTCCCCAAGGCAGTCTGCACACGATGCAAAACACAGGTGAGCTTCATTACAAGCCTCCATATATTGTCCCATGCTCACCACTCTAGGGTGCGATAATGCTACTCTGATCTCGGCTCTGAGCTCAGAAGACGCCGGCACCCATAATGTCGCCAATGGACTCTTCGATCTTCCTCCAAGTGTAGTGGCAGCATCGTTGGGAGGAAACCCGCTGTCAGCAAAGTTTGCACAGCTACGACGAGATATCCCGGCTGTCGGGACTGGTGCTGCGGTTGGCACCGCAGAATGTCTGAAACGGTGCGAAGCTATTGGCTCGAAGTAGGTTGTCTATAGTATGCCCACAGCCGTACCGACATAGACAAAAGGGTTGGTCGATACTAATGGCTGCAAAGACTTCCCATATTGCCGGGGACGAGAAAACTCGTTCGGCCAAAACGTATCGACAAAAGCTCGAAACATAAATACCCGTGGCAGATGGCATCGTGGAACGGTCTGTCTGATATGTTCAAGAAACATTCGACTGTGTAGAAGCCGGGATGGAGGCTGCTCTTGATTTCCATAGACCTGCGATGTACGCCTACAGGGCATACAGGGATGTGATCATTCTAGGGGCTGTTTGATAGACCAACCGCTCTGGTTGGTGCTTGGAATAGTGACGGTTCAGACACAAGTGTTCCCAGAGCCGAATTTGCGAGCAACCCATGCGCCGCCGTACTCGTCGTACTCTTGCTTAGTGGCAGACAGCATGTGAATATCGGAGTGTTTGGCAAGTTTGGCACCGCCATGCCAGGTGCTCGTGATAGGGTCGACGGGATGCGCAACCCTCACAATACAGGCATCAGGAACTCTCTTGACAAGCTCCTTCTCCAGCCGCTGGATAAAGCCAGCAAACAAGGCGTTGCCGCCAACGACAACGATGTTAGCCAAGAGTCCCGGCCATAATCCAATTGGCAATTCGGAAAGAGACTGCATGATGACGTCCGCGAGGCCGGGTTGTCGGAGTCCAATGTCAGAAGGCTGGAAGAGTAGTTCGGGAACTGAAAAGCGTTCGTTTCGAAGCGTGAGTATGTCTTCGTCGTTGTCAGCGGCACGTGCTGCCATTTTTCTTGCTTTTGTGTGCATAGCAGGGTCGTAGTCTCGGACGATGCCCTTCGTCTTAGTGTGGAAGTCGGGCAGTATGTAGTCTTTGGCAATGCCGGCTCCCGTCACGTACGGTTCCCTCTTCTCGCCCCTCGTGCCCTTCCAGGTTTTCTCGAGGTCGCCATTGAAGTCGAGTGAGACATAGCTTGCCTGTTCCTTGATCTCGTTGACGATGTATGTGTCGTTTCGCATGTCGTAGTATCGCAGAGAGAGTAAACGCGTCAAGTAATTTGTCATGAGCTTCCCACCGACGTCCAGTCTCCGGACAGCGGAGTGCAGGGGCTTGCCGTTGAGAAGAGGCATGACGATAGTATTAGAGTAGCCAGAATCGATGAGCAGCACAGCTTCGGCCGGAATTTGGGGCACCGAATTCGGGTCTCGGGGGGTCTGAAGGATACCTTGGATATCGTGGTACGCATTGAAGGAGGCCCCTGGGAAGACAAAGGTCAGCTAAGTCGACGAGACGTGCAAGAGGCTAAACCACATACCAATACCACGATAATAACTGGCAAACTGATATTCCTCAAAGATTATCTGATCACAGTTGGCCTGTAGAATAGGCAACGAGTTGGGTTGTTCTGCAAGGAGCAGTCTGGTCTCGGAAGGATCGCACTTTTGCGGCGCCTTGTCGTCGAAGAACTCGTGGTCCCAAATCTCCTTTTGAGCTTCCCAATTGACAATGTACCCCTTTTCTACCGGCCGCCGGAATTGGATTTCGCCAAAATCATGGCATTTTTCGAGGTCGGATGCGACGTAGACCTTTCTCGCCCTGTCTCTGGCGATGCAGTTTGGTATTACTCGAGGCTCGTCAGTGTGGTCGTCGGAAACGAAGCCTGCTTTGATGGTCGACGCGCCATTGTCGAGAACTAGCGTTCGCGACGGAGGCACAGGGCCCGAAGACTTGGCAGTGCGCCCACCAGCCATGGGGATGAGTTGCTCTAGAGCCAGGACGTCGCAACGGAAACGATTGACGAAATCGTGAACTTTTGCACTGGGAATTCCAGGCACTGGAGCAGGCACTGGAGCTTGGACTTCTTCCCGCCCGCCTATTGGACCTGGACGGGACTTCCTCAGTCGGTGGTCGGCTTCCTCATCGCCGACACTGCTGACGTAACAGAGCCAAACCAGTGACATGGACAGGATGCGACTCTCGCTCTGCCAAGAGCTTGCAACCGTTGAATCTGTCGTAAACTCCTTATGGTCTAAATTAATTATCCTGTAAATCACAAACCTAGCTTTAGCTGAGAAAAGTGTTCCTCTGGTGTGCGCTTTTGAGATATGTCATGGGCCCCGTATGACACTGACATTCTACCTTATGCATGACTGGTAAGGTACTCGCGATATGGGTACATTTAGTTGTACTCACTTGGAGTTATGAGTTGACGCTGCGAGCGATACGACTACTATATCTTCTCCGCCATGTTTGATCTCGCCTCAACGTATTCGAGGCTTTGAGAACCTCCATAGTTGACTTCTCTGTCGGATTCAACTTCCTCTTGTTTCGCGCATGCTATCCCAGGCCAGTCTCGGCCACCCAATATCTCGAAACTACATGTGTAGGACACTCTTCCAGTGCGTAGATCACCATGGCAGATGCGGGAATGGCATCAAGCAGAGGATGTTGGCGGCTGAAGCGCCAGCCATTGTGCGACGTGGGGTGCAGTTGGCGTTTTGATGTAGGTGCTCACCGCCGCCAACATGGTGGGATGGGTGTCTCAGAGAATCACGCGACAGTGTCATGGCATTGGTTACAGAGATAAGGCGGCAGGCGGTCGGGGCTTTTGGAGATGTAGAGGGTGCCTCCATGGTGGGAGCTCATGAGGCACCCCACGGAACGAAGCCGTTTTCCCAGCGCGTGCCTGCTTGGACTCTTGCGCCGAGTCAATCCGCTGGACACCACCGCCACAGGCAAGTCTACGCAGTATCGAAACCGTTCAGATGTCGTGTGTATGTTGCAATTTGTACATTATGTTTTGCAGTGTCTAGCCCACCAGGCAGCACATGCAAACTACCTTGAAAAACGTCCCTGTGTTAGTCGTATCTACCTTGGAGTGCATGCAGGGAAACCAATCGGGCTGAGACGTGCCGTGTAAGTCAACCAACTTAGCACTCCTCCTGTAGGTCGCTGACATGGTCGGAGGTTCGCGAGCATGAATGATGAAAGACGATTGTCTGGAGAGGATCCGTTGTTGAGTCGCATTGCATGGCGGTAGCGATTGACACGTGGAGCAGCATAGGTAGGCATAGGGTATCCGTAGATGCGAAGGCGGGCTCGATCTTTGGTAGTACCACCATAGAGTCTTAGACTAAGGCAATAGTGGAGAGCGGTACGAATACATTGGGCGCAACAGGCGCTCAAGCCCGTGAGGCATCATAGCTTTGCAGGACGGGGTGTTGCGAGATGTCGTGCGCATGAAGCTCCAGGCGCAAGATTCATGGATACAGGTGGGAGAAGCCCGTCGGGAGCTTTGGGAGGCACTTGCCGCGTTGGTTCGGGACCAGGAAGCATTAGACGGCAAGGGGTGCCGCGGGGGTCATGGTGGATTGGATGAGACATGAGACATAGCAGCGATGAGTTGTTCAAGTGCCGGGTTGGAGGCTGAAAAGGGGGCACACAAGTGGTGTTGATGATCAAAAGCGTTCATGGTGTTGATGGACGTCGAAAGGGAGGGACATGAATTAATGACACCCAGCAATAACATCAGTGACAGTGAGTAAATGGCGGCGACTGGTTGCGGAAAGACCGGAAGCAAGGTTTTCAGCTCTCACCTCATCAATCTCTCATCAAGCCGGTCGACCCCTCATGATGGACAGGCGTGCTTAGCTAATAAGAGTGAGGAGGGGCTCCAAGTGGTCAATAGGTACCTTAGGTACCTACCGTCCAAGTCTCCAAGCCGACGGGTCTGGACAAGCTTTTTCTCCTTTACCTTGAGGTAATGTCATTCCGATGAGAGAGGCATGAGGATGAGTGAAATGGGTGTCCCAAGCCAGGACGGGAGTGAGAGTGAAAGTAAGATTGTTATTCCTCAGAGACCAGGTACCTTACCTACCTTAGCAGGCCTCAAGGCTCAAGTGCATTTTGGAAGTCGGGGAAAGGAGGGGTCTTGCCGATGGCGTATTCCGTACCACCTTACCTTGGGTTGGCAGGCACGCACCTAGGCTGCAGATGGGCTCCACCTCCGCGACAGCCTCTTGCCCCTCCGTGCTCCGAAGTCTCCAGCCCTTTCCTTTCATTCATTGGCGTTAAGAAAACATGGGAAGGTGCCGTGGCCATGGTGACTTCCACTGAGGTACACAGGCAAGAGGATGTCGAGCCTCGGTGGGCACTTCTCATGAGTTGCTATGCATCCAGTAAAAAGAAACCACAGGAGTTCCTTCCCTTGAGGTTTTTGCACCCTACCACGCGATGGCAACAAAAGATGGCCGCTTTTTGGTGCAGTGGAAGTCACAAACCCGGCCATCATTTCTTACCACCGCGTGCCTACCTTACTCCGTATCCAACCTAGGGAAGGAAAGACGAGTCCACTTTCATTCAGGTCATCTCCTGCGTTCCAGGTCCCAAGAGTGTAGATCTGAGGCCAAGAAGCAAGCCGGGCCGGTGCAGCCAGCGATTTCGGTCCAGACTTCATCCACCTCAGCAAACCGCCCCCAAAGAGTAAGGTAAGGGTGAGGTAAGGTACCCAACGGATAACTACCAGAGCATATTCCCTTGCAAAAGGTACAATGCCCAGACGCACAAATAACCAACTGATTGAGGTACCCGTCCTTCTTCCCGTACCTTAACCGCCCGACACTTCTACCCATTGGATACAATCCAAGGTAACCTCGCGCCGCACACTCGCCTACGTAGTAAGGTACCTTACTGCACCTTACCGGCCTCTCCACACTGGGATCCGATTTCCCTCTGTTGGACCCTGTCTGCCCTGATTCTCGGCCGCTTACACCCACCCACCTTACCTCACTTGCACAATCTTGCTGTCCTTTTCCACTTTCTCCAGTTCTTCCTCTTGTTTCTTTCCGTGTTGACAGCTTGAGTACGGATACAACGTCAGACGTCACATCTCCCTTGGCGACACCGGTGACAGCTATCTTGCCTTACCTTACCTTACCTTACGTGCCTACCTTACCGCCTTACCACGCTTACCTACGTGCCTAGGTACCCAAGGTAAAGCGGAAGCCAGCCAATACCATCCAAGTAGGTATGTGGTATGTACCTTAGGTACCGGTATATTGGTAGAATGAGCAGCAACAATCGGCCTTTCTTCTTCATATGTCATTCAACTTGCAGTGTTTTATATTTGTATGAATCAAATAGTATCATGAGCAGTCCTACAGCATAGACATGACTTGGGTTTTATTGTCTCCACGTCGCTACCAACCTACAAGGTAGCAGCAGGTTACCTTTCCTCCTTACGAATACCTTAGGTACCTTAGGTAGGTAGTGTGCTTAGGCAGGTACCTAGGTTCCTTAGCTACCTTACCTGGATCATTGAGAACCTTGCTCTCCACTGCACCCGACAACCGTAACCGCGCCCCCCGGCCCTCCGCGCCCGACAACAACTTTCCCACCTTCCCTTAAGCATTTGTTGCTCGTCCCTACAACGACCGACCATCTCACGCTCTCATCTCTTTTGCTTTTGCATCTCCCCATTTGCCATCTTGGCAACACATTCACTCATCCCTTTATCCTTCCACCGGCCTGACTCAAGGTAGAGTCGCTCTGCGTCCTCTTGCGAAGCCCGTCTCCATACGCCTGGAAACCTTCACATCTCGGCTCGCCCAGCATCCACTGCCCAGTGCCCAGTGCCCAGCGCCCAGCCACGCACGTACGACATCCACGTCGTCACAAGCTTCCCCGACCCGACACGCCCGTCTGGTCCCAGATCCCCAAACCCAGCACCACCACCACCACCACCACCTAACCACCCAAACACAACCTCCGCTGACTGCGACCCCTGGGCCGTCACCCTGCACCGCCAACACCATCCGTCCATCATCACCATCCCCGACATCACCGCCCGCCATCAACCCATCGCGCCCATTCGCATAGGTACACCTGACTACCTCTTATCCGCCTCCGACGATCAATAACACCACCTACCTTCCCCTCACCATTCTCGACAATGCTTGCAGCTCTCTGCCACTTCGTCTGAAGGATGCGTTGTTGATTACACTCGGTTCATCCCCAACCATATTGCGACGGTACTTCACCCAGCACCGACAACACTGCGACCATACATCGACTACAATAACAACAACAACCACAACGCTCTCTACCGGACTCATCTTGGCCGGACCGCCTCTCACTGCATAGTCTACCGCCGTGGCTGACACTGGTCCACCACAGTTGTACTTGCAATCGTCATTCTGATTGAACCGGATCATCGATCACCCGCCGTCGCTCTGTCCACTTTGAGAGAGCCCACACTCGACGAACCCTCAAGCAACACCGCCCGGTCACACTGTCGATAGCCAATATGGGCAACAGCAGCACCAAAGAATCTCGTCCGATTGACCCGGCGACCGACTACAGGCAAAGCCAGGCCGCATACCTCAACCACTCCACCTCCAGAGAAGCCGCAAACGATCATGCCAGCACACGGAGGCAAAGCCGCTTTAGTAGAGCCGATCTAAATCTCCTTGGCCTAGGAGCCGCCGGATCTTCAAGTGCTGCAGGCAGAGAAGATGCGCCGTACGAGCGGAGGGAGACGAGGCAGGAACGGGAAGCCCGGCGACTCGAAAGGGACCGCGTCGCGAGAGAAAAGGAACGTGAGCGGAGTCTGAAGGAGGAGCACATCGATGGCGGATACCTTGTGACTCTTGGTACATACACTGGTCCCGAAGACTTTAGCAAGCCCGTCGTGCGGCAATTACAGGTAAGTTGCTTTACGAATATTCTCATGCTTTGGTTGCAAAGGTTAACAGCTGTGGCCCCGCAGATTGAAAGACGGCTTGCACCATTCTGGAGAGGTCTCAATGACTACTCCGACAACTGGACCGAATATCAGCTCATCTGCGCCGGCCGCGGCCTTCCTATCCCGGCCGCCGATGAACAACCTCCACCCGAGTTCATTCCCCAGTCCAACACGCCTGCCTCTCCCACCGAGTCATCCCAGAACCTTGCCAATCTCACTGTTCCAATGGGCCCGAGATCTTTGTCAGTAGGATCAGATCGTAGTAGCTCAATGCCGGGCTCTGGAATATCGTCGCCCAACGCAGCCCAGCAGCGGAGTAGCTCACCGTTCAAGCCTCGGGCAAAAGCCCTTGCAGCAGCATTGAGCGGGGGCTCACGCAGCAACTCGTCAAACGACGTTGCGCCTCGTGAGATCAAGTTGCCCAACGACCCCTTGGTCAACGGACAGCCATTAGAGGTTTTCCTGTACAAGGATGCCACCGAATGTCCCATTTGCTTCCTAACCTATCCTCCCTACCTGAATCGCACTCGTTGCTGCGATCAGCCCATCTGTAGCGAATGTTTCGTGCAGATCAAGCGCGCCGATCCGCACCATCCCGAGCATCACGGCGAACCGACCGAGCAGTCTGCGAATCCGACCAACCCGGAGGAAGCTCCAGAGATGCTAATATCTGAGCCCGCGCAGTGCCCCTACTGCCAGCAGACCGAATTCGGTGTAACCTATGACGCTCCCCCTTTCCGACGAGGTCTATCTTATGCCATTGGATACCCGTCACAAAATACCGCCATGTCGTCTCAGAGCTCTTTGAACTCCACTTTGTCGCCTACCTCTCCAACGTCTGGGAGGCGGCGAGCTCAAAGCTTGTCCGCCAACGCCCCAAATGTTGTCACTACTGATCGGGTTCGACCGGATTGGTCGACCAAACTCGCTGCGCAACGAGCACACCAAGCACGCAGAGCTGCAGCGGCAACTGCTTTGCACACTGCGGCCTTCCTCATGGGAAACAACGAACAGCAGCGCGGCTTCGCCTTCACACGGCCTGGGCGTTTCAGTCGGAGAAACACCGGGAGTCGCACGCCTTCTGGACCTTCCAACCAGCAGCCGGAAGAGAGCCCCCATCGCAACCCTGAGGGTGAAGCTGCCCCAGCTGGACCAGAGCCTGGACCACGGAGCTCCTCTGGGCGCGGAGCTCTGAACAATAGGAGAAGTCGGATGGAGGAGCTGGAAGATATGATGTTTATGGAAGCCGTCCGTCTTTCTCTCGCCGCCGAGGAAGAGCGAAAACGCAAACAAGAAAAGGCGGAGCGAAAGGAGGCCAAAAAGAGGGACAAGGAAGAGCGCAAAGCCCTCAAGAAGCAGGACCGGCAGAGCGTCTATGGGCCTGGTCAGAGCTCTGCTAGTGGTAGCAGCCTCTCCCTTGGCCTTGGACGACGCAGAGGGAATAGCACAACCAGCAACTTGCGTGTGGAGGCCACGCTCCAGGGGGCGCAGACGACTTCCGCAGGACCCAGCGCTGAGACTTCTCCAGTGGCTTCCTCAACACCGATTGGCAATACCCTTTCTCCCACCTCGGCACCCAGCTCGGCACCTAGTTCGAAAGGCAAAGCTGTAGAACGTCCAGCAGTTGAGACGCAGTCATCCGAGAGCAGCTTCCAAAGCACATCTACCACGCCCTCATTACCGATCCCGACGACTAGCCGCGGGCCTTCTCACTTGAGGCAGATGAGCAATGCATCTTCCATCTCATCATCCCTGGCTGATAGCGCAGCTGGCAGCTATAGCAACCAGGCGTACCTGGATCCTCGAGCCAGCGAGCTGAGCGTTGGCAATAGAAGCGAAGAAGGTGACCGAGACAACACGGAGCCCATGTTCAACTTCCGGAGCCTGGCAGAGATGGTGGGCGTTGACATTGAAAATGGCGAGGCCAATCAGAACCAGGATATCGCCTCAGGCGAGGGCCGGACTACCACTACGAGCAAGAAGGCCGAAGCGGAAGACGAACCGGAAGCGGAGCACATGGAAGATGCACACAGCGAGGAACCCGTGCAGACAAACGCCGGCACATTGAAGCCACCGCCGACGATTCCCGAAGAGCCCGTCGACAGCGCCAGCAAAGGCGACGTGTCCCCTTTGCTTGGCAGTGGAGCATTGACACCGGAAGTGACAATTACACCCGAGACCCCGGCTCCTATCTCGGATGAGGCTGCTGAGTCGAAGAGGCTGGGCCATGAAAGCATTGTGGAGAGTTCGACTGGAGTAACGCAGTAATCGGAGTGCGGATCGACGGGCATGACGGGATGATTGCAAAATATGATGATGCCATATTTGATGGCAACGGCTACATGGGAGGAAGAGTTTTGCATACTCTCTGGGGGTTGGGAACCCCAAGAAACTCAAGGCGTTCAGCGTGAACTTTGGGGGAGGAGGCCATTAGACGTGATTCTTTTTTTATTTCATCTATTTGCTTTTTTGCCATGTGAATGGCCAGCGCTCACTGTACTCTACCCAACCTACCTTTTATAGGTATGTGAGAAAAGCGGCTGAGACGTTGATAGTCTCGAGCTGCTTGACAAATACCATTTATTCATGGAAATATTTCGCCCTCGTTTCTTACTTGATTTTTTGGAAAATTTGACCTCCTGTGCCCAGCTTGCTTGCAAAGAAATGGGTTCCTGCCCAGGGTTACAAGTGTGGCTCGGCGGCGGCGGGAGCGACAGCAGGGAGGGCAGCATCGATGGCGGCGACGGAAGGTTGGTTGACGAAATCTTCGCCAGGACTGGCCCAGCTGTAATTCCGCCATTCGCCCAAGGCCGGCCACATTTGTTCCGTGACCAAACGCTGAATCTTATCAAGTCGACTGGCTTGGGGACCGGCGGGATTTGACTGGTCATTCTGGGCCGCAAGCTCGCTCATCATGCCCTGCCAGGCAAGGAACGTCTCTTCCAGTTCCGACACGGACGTGACACCCATGACGCTGACACCAACCTTGGCAGGGCCGTTATACGTGGGCGGCAACAGCTCGCTGCCAAAGGCACTTCCTACGCGAGCCCAATTCGCCATGGCCCAATACAGAGCGAGCTCTTCCATCTTTTCGCCCGCGCCCTCGGCGATTCCGACCAGGCTCTTGCATAGCTTGCGCAGGGGACTCGGAGCCGGATGCCAGCTCGCCATGGGCCCATCATCAACGCCGCGGGTGGTGAGCAGACCCATGCTCAGCATGCTCGCGTTGGTCAGGACACCGACACCGGCATCTCTCAATCGTGTGAGGATGGCGTCGCTGCCGAGAGTATCGTTCTGGATGCAAAAGTGCGAAAAGGATTGGACAGCGTCGACGGGTTCGCCCGTTTCGCGAAGGATCTTTTCGGCAAGCTCGCAGAGGACGGGAACGGGATAGCCGCAGATACCGACGTAACGGACTAAACCCTCATCGCGGAGGCGACGCAGCTCGCGGACGGCGGCGACGACCTGGTCGGGGGTGACGAATTCTGCGTCGTGGGTGTAGACCAGGTCTAGGTAGGTGGTATTGAGACGCTCGAGGCTGCGGAGGACGGAAGCGCGGATCCAGGCCGGGGAGTAGTCGAACTCGGTCGGGGCGATGCGGCCAGCCTTTGTGACGAGGAAGTAGGAGTCGCGGGGCGGTGAGAGGGTGCGTAGGGCGGCGCCGAGGATGGTCTCGGAGGGCCCGTAGTATGGGGAAGTGTCGAATGCGTTTACGCCGAGTGATAGGGAGCGGGAGACGATGTCGACGGAGGGCATGCGCGAAGGGTCCGAGACGTATTGGTAGTTGAAGGTCGCGGTGCCGAGGATCAGAGGCGGCAGGACGGCGGACAGCGGCCGGGTTGTGGTTGTGCGCGGGGCCGCCATTTCGGAGGTGGTATTCTGCGCTCTATAGATAGAAACCGAGATTTAGCTTCCAATGCGATAGAGAATCGGTGACATGTAGCTTCGATTCACTACTCGCTAGTAGAGATCTGCTGCAAAAGCTATCGTTGCTGGCCGTGACGAATGGTGCACAAGGTCCGGCTTCAGGGCCGGCGGCTCACTAGATATCGAGTCGAGCACGTCAATGATTGATAGTCAGGGTCCCCCCGCGTGCCTGAATCCCCGAATGCGATTTGCCCCGCCGGAAAGGTGGGGGAGTCTGTTTTTTTCCTTCTCTTTGGTGACTTTCTGGAATCGGACTGGTCTTGTTCTGGTCGCTCCGGATAGGACCGAATAGACTGACGCGGAGCTCAACTCTAAAATGCTGAGATGAGCTTCATGGTATGGTGACTTGGTTGATGGGTAGCTTGATTTCGTGGCCATGACCATAGCTAGAGACTTTGGGAAGTAGCATACTAACTTATGAGGTCGATCTCAGTAACCACAGATTCAATTTGATACGTCTTTCTCGAGTTGCATGGAGATGCCACGAGCTTCGTGAAGACCGGCCATTTCAGTGACATTGCGGGGCTCGGCGTGACGCGCGGGGTTCTGGAGGGGAAGCTGGGGTGTTGGGGCTTCTGGGAGTCGGGACTACCATGTTTGCGGTGAGGGCCGAGGTAGGTAGGTACCTGAACCTAAGACAAATGGAAAGAGTTGCTGCATCTGGAGCAAGATGGTTGGGACGACCGAAATATTACAATGGTTGAATTTGTAGAGGGGATCATGGAGGAAGAAGACAAGCACCGCTGGGGTTTTGCAGGAAACAAAAGATGGGTAAATTCGATCTTGATTCTCAACAGGCCACCAGCACCTGCCGCACCTGCTCCTTCGCAGGGCTGCAGGCCAAGAGGGGCCTTACCCAAGGTATCTTATCTTATCTCTAGTCTTATCGATTACTAGCACCTCAGGTTCTCATCGTGCTTCATCTCAAGGTCATCTCAACCTACCTTGAGGTAAGGGAATCACGATGAGTCTCACAACACGTAATCCGTAGAGCTCCCAACATCTTCCATTTGCAATATTTTCAAAATTTTCTCTCTTTAGATTTCTGTCAACAACGGCAGTGGTATCTATTTGACCGGCTGACTCCGTGGAAACCCTGGCACAGTGAAATGTCTCTAGCAACGCGAATTTGTTTCCACATTCTGCCCGGGTCTCGTCGTCTAGTGACGAGTCCATCAGTCTTCGGGTAACCATATCGCGGTATCTTGAATTGCCTACACTCTTTTAGATTTTGGCTAATACTCTATCAGGTAACGCATGGTATCAATTACAAACCGACCTACTCGCATTGGACGGCAATTAGCCTGAAGATCCTGCCAAGTGAGATCCAAATACAGTACCTCACTCATCATTTCTCCCTATCAACCACCCAAGTGGCCCTCCACAGCCTCGCTCTCTTCAGGCTCTACTTGTTCTGCATCACTTTATTGTCTCGATCCAACAGTCATGGCATCAATGTTACTCTATGAGTCTGACTCATATTGGCTGTCCACCATCCCTCGTCCGGCACTTTGATCAGCCGGTCAGCCGCCCCTTTGGAGAATCTAACCCCCCGCCGTTTACTCAGTGGCCTACCTAATTCGAACTCCCAGACAAGCGTCTGCTTGGGATCTATGCTAGAATCTCTCACCCATCACTTGATACTCTTTCAAGAGGCGATACCTACCTTCTGCCCCTCCTACTGTAAGGCCTGTAGGCGACTTTCCACCCATCGGTGTCTTCCATCTCCTGAATGATTGCCCGCGGTGATCAGATCGTCGCTGTTCATGTCGTTTGGGCTCCAATCTTCCAATGGCGCTATATGGCTGCCTTCGTTTTCAACCCGTCTTCCCCTCTATGGTAAAGAAACATGACCGGTGTCTCGAGAGCATTCATCCGCCTTGGCAAATAAATGGCTTTCGGATCTTCATATTGGCAACCATCTTCCCCTCCCTTCTCGTACCATATTTTGTGACAACGTTGTTGCACCCGGAGTGTTTGGTCTCATATCTGTCTACTATTTCCATACGACATGACTTCCTCTTTCGTCGCTACGCAAGTCGATATGGATGAATGGGTGATTGCTCCGAACCACCGTTGATTATGGCAAATGCTGGCGTTAGCCATCGGCTGGACTTCACTTAAAGACTCCAAACCTGCTCCTAGAGAGTCATCATCCTCATCATAATGTTCCCATTACCAAGGTCCCATTTGAAGACGAGAGAGTGAACCCGCCGGCAGAGATCATGCGTTGGTTTACCACTACCCTCAGTGCTGCGGCGCTCATTAACTCTGGTAGGTTTGATTACCACTCGTATCTTAGGGGCTTGTACTAATTCATAGGACAGTAGCCATCGCCCAAAACCAGTCAACATACTGCGACAGTCTAGGGCGTTGCTTCGCTTCTTATACCAATGCAGGCGGCATTACTTACGGCATAGCCATACCTGAAGGGCCTGCGACGGGTCAACCATATGAAGCCATTGTTCAGATCACTGCCCCCATCGAGGTAGGATGGGTTGCCTTAGCCTGGGGCGGCTCTATGACATACAATCCCTTAACAATCGTATGGGTCAATGGCAAAGACGTGGTCGTCTCTTCTCGAATGGCATTGTAAGAACTCAATTCGTTCCATGGAAACCGCTTGATCACTGACAATTACTAGTGGCTACTTCACTCCTCCACCTTACGAAGATGCAGAGTACACCGTTCTCCCCGGCACTGTCGTCAATGATACGCATTACTCCGCCACAGCTCTATGCCGAGGCTGTACATACTGGGCACCATATGGAAACGATCCAACATCTTTGGACCCCAACGGAGAAAACTACTTGGCGTTTGCTTACTCTGGCGTGCCAGTTGATGACCCGACTGCCAACGACACAACTTTCGGCATCCACGAGCGCGCAGGACACTGGATGCACAACTTCCAACCGGCTCAGGCAGTCAATTTTGAATCTTGGGCAGCGGGCAATTCTGAAGGCGAACGTCCCACCAGCGCCGTTACCAAAACGACGCTGCTGACCACCTTGTCGACATCCACTTTGCATAGTACCACGACTCCCAAGACCAATGTCACCAGGACAGGCGCTTCACTCAGTAGCGTAACGGCCACTGTCTCATCTCCGCGTTCCACTTCTACATCGTCCTCCACCGTATACAGCGCCCCTGTGCCTCCAGTCCCCAACTCGTGCTCTGGCGTCAGCGCCTTCAGGTTCGGATACCAGACTGCGAATGGCTGGAAAGCCGTTAAGCTTGCTGGATCTCTGACAGGCCCCCGCGGATTGGTTGTCGACTCCGAGGGCAATTTACTCGTCGTACAATCGGGCAAAGGTGTCACGGCTCACACCTTTGGGGCCGACGGCTGCATCTCTTCCACAAAGACCCTGATCAGCAACCCCTCGCTAAACCATGGCATCGGCTTGACGCCTGATGGCAAGACGTTGTACGTCACCTCCATGACAACCGCATGGTCTTATGTCTACGACGCAAAAGCTCAAAGCGTGAGTGCGCAGACTGTTGTCGTCAAGGGAATGCAGCAGGGAGGTCACCCAACGCGCAACCTCGTCATTCCGCCGGCAACGCCGCATCTCCTCGTCATCCAGCAAGGCTCTTACAGCAATTTTGACCATGAATCACTCAACAAGGCAGTGGCACGTGCTATGGTCAAAGTATTTGACATGCGCAGCGTGCCATCCGGAGGTTATACATACGCCTCCCAGGGGTGGCTTCTCGGATGGGGCCTGCGCAACGAAGTAGCCCTTGCAGCGGACGGGAACAATGCGTACGTCCAACTTGTCTTTCTTTGTTTTTTCGGTGGACGCATGTAAGCTGACAGTAGTAATCGTTCAAGGATTTGGGGAGTGGAAAACAGCGGTGACGACTTCGCCCGCACAGTCAACGGCCAGAGCTACGACATCCACAACGACAACCCAGCAGAAGAGCTGAACTTCCGTAAGTCGCCATATTCTCCGGTCAAATAATCCAAGACAACTCACAACTCGTCCAAGTTGGCGATCCTTCTCAACCGAACGACCAGTGGTACCGGGTACCCGACCTGCTTCACTGTCTGGGAGCCGTCCGTCATCAAGGACAAGACCTTCAAGGTCGGGCAGCAGTTCGTCGTCGCTCCCAACAGCACCTTCAACGACGATACTTGCACTCAACGCTCTGTGGCACCCAGACTTTCGATCCAAGCACATAGTGCACCCATAGGCGCCGTTTTCGACAGCGCGTTCCAAAATCTGTACGTCACGCTGCATGGCTCGTGGAACAGGTCACCTGCCACGGGATTCAAGGTGTCTGTGGTGCCGTTCACCCAGCTCACTTATGGCGTATATGATCCGGTTGCCGCTCCAGACTCTAAGACTGGTTACACTGATGTCTTTTGGAGCACAAACGTCGGAAGCTGCACGGGGTCGACCTGTTTTAGACCTTCCGGCATTGTCTTTGACAAGGGATTCTCGAGGTTGTTTGTGGCCAGTGACAACACCGCGGAGGGTGAACTCTTCATGCTCGTCAAGTCTTGACACAGGTACAACTCAATGCTTGCAGAAGGAAAGTCGTGCAGACCAACTTCAAGATAACCAATCCCATGACTGAAGTCCATCTGTGACATGCTAAATGTCATTGCTTCGTGTTCATCCACAGACTGTGTGAACTCAAGCTATGATCATCGTACCATTCACCACACGCAGCCGAAGAGGCGTAGTGATGAGATGACCAGCGCCAAGTTATCATACATTATTCTCATGAACAGCCTGAATCTCCATAGGAGGCTATCTGGATAAAAAGATAAATTTCTACTCTGGCATACGATGTACCCAATCATACAGTCTCCAAGTTGGCTGTGGAGTAGCCCATTAGCATATTTGAAATAAGAGATATGATTGCGATAGTACCACATAGGTTCAAGCTGGTGCGACTGGTTGATATACATTATTTATTTTGATTTATATTGAGCGAGTATGAACAAGGAATGAAAGTCTCATGATCAATGTTTCTGCATGCAAAACTCGAATGACAAGGAATACCATAGGTGGTCTCCCGTCATCCGGGGACAAGATCATTGTCTGAGTTTATTCACGATCCTGCTCTCTGTTTGTACCAGTCGCCGATTCTATGGAGTCGCGAAAAAGAGCATCATCTTGCAAGAGATGTTCAGAGAGGTCTATGAATAGGTCAGGCAATCAGAGTGATGGAAGAAAGGGGTGTTCGACATACTATCGGAATCACTCCGTCGTGTTTCAATGGCACCGAAGAGCGCGTCCATGTCCTCCAGCTCCCGACCCTTGGTCTCAGGAAAGAACGCATATATGGCCTATAGCATTGGTTAGCGTCTAGGGATTTCATAGGCAATAAGCCCGAGGTCTTCATACCGGAATGCAGATAATGTTTACGACCATGAAAATGAAGTAGATGTTACTGCCCATATATCCGATGCCCGAAGACCACACCATGGTGACGATAGAAGAACCGACGGAGGCACCAGCGGAGGCGAAATTCAAGCCTCGGGCTCGTACAGAGGTGGGAAAGATCTATAGTCACGTCGACATCAGTGATTGCCTCAAGAAACGGAAGAGGGCATCATCAAGAGGTACCTCTGTATTGTAGACCCATGCCGTTGGTCCAAATCCCAAAGAGAAGCCAATGACATATACAAAGATGAAGGCCACGCATATTATGTCGGTGGCTGGGCTTTTTCGCTGAGGATCTAGAAGAGGCACGGCTCCATTGATCTGAGAGAAGCTGATCAGCATTTCCAGTTCTTACGTACGGGTTCCCGTAACCTTTCACCTACCAGCAGCGAGAAAGCCATGATGATACAACCAGCAACGAGGCATTTCCTCCGTCCGAACCGATCAATGATAAACATCTCGAGAACCGTGAAACCTATCTTGACCGTTGATTCAGTAGCGCTGATTAGCAACGCAGTATGGGAGAATATGCCATGTTGCTCCAGTAGCCATGGGAGGAAGTATTTAATGGCAGTAGCACCACAACTTGAAGCCATGAATTGTAGCAGGGTAGCTCGCCAGAGACGATTAAACAGTGGCTTTTGTCGGAACAAAGAAAGCCAGTTGCTGCCGGATTGATGGTACTCGTCGACGCTCTTGATGATGGCTGAGAATTCATGCTCAATTTCATCGTCGTCGAAGCTTCCCTCACGGAGCCAGCGAAGTGTCGAACGTGCCTGGTCTTTCCTTCCATGTTCGACGAGCCAGCGGGGACTTTTTCAGTGTTAGTACAAATAGTCTTCTTTGCATTGGAGTACTGACGTTTCGGGGACCCAAGGCAACCCGAGCCCAAATATCATTGCGGGGATTATCTCCAAGAGGATAGTCAATCTCCAGCCATAGAAAAGGCCTGCATCGGAGGACCAGAATCTCATGAAATATCCAACCCTGTCATCGTTAGATGTTTCTCAGACGGAGGCGACATTGATTTAGCTCACCAGAAGCCCAGCGCTATGCCAGCGATGAAGCCGACGTGGTTCAACGTTACAAAATGGCCGCGCTTGTGTGCCGGCGATATCTCACTAGGAAAGCGATCAGCGCCTACGCATAGAAAATGGGCTCAGAACCTCTTACGCTTGGTATAACGGCACTGAAGTAGACACGACGGCAACTCCAACGCCACTGATGAGTCTTCCAGCAAGCATGGTGCCGCGAGCTGTACTGCCACCACTTGTGGCTTGCAGTATGGCGCCAAGGCAAACGAAAGCTGTTCCCGACAAGGCGGCATACCGACGACCAAGCCAGTCAGTGATCGGATGAGAAATGCAGAGATAACTGATGAAGGTTCCAGTGTAGTAGACGCTGACTACGGTTCCGATCAAGGCGCGTGTTGGCTGATGTAGAGCTTCGCGCCAGCCTGAACTGACTATCACTGAAGACAGTATGCCAATGTTGTATCTGTATTGAGTAATTAGGATCCATTAAGCTCTTCGAACCATTAGATGGCTTAGGGTCACGGTGCTGTTTAAAAAACCCAACGACATGTTGTGTCGTCGATGGCTCGCCATATTTAGTTGGCTAGGTGGAGTGGAGGGCGAACTTACCCCCAGACAGACGCGCCAATGCCGAAAAAGATGCAGAGAAAATAGAGACGGGACTCGCCAGCGGGGAATGAAGCACTAAGCCAGGCCATATTGATGGGCGTAAACTTTGGAGACGCGGTTAGAGGGGTAAGCAGCGGGCGGGCACAGCCGGCGGGAGGTGCGCCTTGCGGCAAGGAGTTGTTATCGATGGCTTGTCAGTATTGAGGAGGGCCTTTGCTGACAACCTTCAATGTAGTTTCAAAACAATTTGAAGCGGGGAGATGAAGCTGGACGGCTACTTAAGACATTATGCAATTCCAAGATGAAGCGCGGGGTCGTTTGGCCGAGACGGGTTGGATCATCTCGTGATTATGTAAGACACGTTCATGAACCACCCGCTAACTGAATTCTACCTTTTCAAAGACAATATCTTGTGCTGCTTGAGTTCTTGGTGAATTTCCTGAAGAATAGTCCTCCTGATCAGCACAAGTGCTGTGATTCCGTTTGACATAGAGAGCAAAGGTTGAATCAATGAAACATTTGGGGACGGTTGAGACCACCAACCCCATGGGGAAGCTGCCCCTCTTCAGCTGATCGATATCCGCTCTTGGAGGTAGAGCGTAGCCGCACACTCTATGCGCCATGATCATGAGAGCGAAAAGTCTACTACATTATTATCTACTTAGTTATTCTGACCTGAGCGTTTTGCCGATCTCAAACAGGGACTCCTTGGATCAGGTGTAAACCACTTAAGGCCTCAAGATTATGTACCGCCACCGATGCTACAGCCAGCTGTTGCCCCAACAGCGGTTCTCATCCGAAGTCATGGCGGCGGATGGCCGCTTATAGCGTATCCATCATTCATACATTAATGTTACAACGTGGCCTTCCCTTCTTGCAAACACACGCTCTATCGAGGCACATACCCCGAGAAGTCGTACATCCCATTATGATCCTGCAGTCCCGAGTTCCAGTCAAGGAATTGCGGTTGCCCATTGGCGTCAATTACTGGCGCATACATGCTCATATTGCTGGGTGATGGCCCTGATGTCGGCACCATGGTGCCATCATGGTAGCCCCAGAGTTGAGCGGCCATCTCCGGCGTCATCCCATTTGCCATTGGCATGAGCTCCGCCTGTTGGTCTAACATTGGCGGCTGCTGAGACAATTGCTGCTGCGACGGTGACTGCTTCTGCACTGGGGGAGAGCCTCCGAGACCAAAGTCGGATGCCGGCAGCTGCTGTTCTATCAGGGGCTGCAGCGTCCTGGGCGGAATAGAGCCTCTGAACTCTTCCGGGGTTGATGACGCCCTTCTGACTGTTCGAACACTGTCGGAGTGGGCGAGCATACCTTGCCCGTCGAATCCGCCTCCAGGGAAGATGGCGACAGACTGGCCATCTTCCGAACCCTCGTCGACGTCTACACCTGAGTCTGGACGAGGGACATTGCGAGTCAAGTGGCGTGGGGCCAGGAGGCGGGACGGTGATGGCTCATTCTTTCGGTTACTTCGGTTCGAATAGGGCATGTTCTGTGCGTTGGCGATGCACTGTTCAATGACCTGGATGAACTGATTGCGATAGATGTTCCCGATGGTCTCCAACGCTTGGGGAGTCATGCCCTTGTTTCGCAGGCTATCCTCGACGTCTTTCAGACTGTTCATGAACTGGTTCTGCAACTCGAAATGCTCGATTACGGGGCAGAAGTCTAGTCGGCGTTAGTACCTTGGGGTTGGAAAAACTGTGTTGGACGGGAGTATATGGCATACCGAAAGGCTGAACCCTGTAGTCATCGTCGTCAGGGAACAACAGGTTCCAGATCTCCTTCCATTGGACCTCTGTGCTCATGCCACTGGCTCGCTTCCTACTGAGAAGCTTCGTCATTGTAGGGCCGTCGATGCCGGACTCTGGGTCGTGGTCGGAAACGTCACACATCTGCTCCTTTGGTAGACGCTGGTGATCCCTGAGATCCTTCTTGCTGGGAAAGTCTCGGTTGCAGCGGTCGCACATGAAGGATGAAGGGTCGTTGCGCTTGTGTTGCTTGACGATGTGTTGCCTAGCAAGCGTTAGAGCACAGCTCGTGAGCTTTCCAAGTGTCGGGTACTCACCTCAGCTCGGCAAACTTGGGGAAGTAAGTCATTGCACACGAGTGGTGCTCTCTCACGTTGAACCTATGGGGGTTCCTCTTGCGAAACGGACAGCTCAGTCGAAGGTCTCCCTCTGCCTCTCGTGGTGTTTGTCTGGCCCTCTTGAACGGCATGCTTGAGTCTCCATCGTCATCCGTCAAGTCATCGCCATCATCATCACCATCTGCACGGCCGGTGTCGCCCTTCTTGCGCTTGCCGTTTTGAGACCCTCGACCTGACCCTGATCTCCGAGCTAGAGGCAGAGAGCCATTAGACGACGTGGATTGAGTGTGGGTTAGTTGTGTTCCGGCGGGGAATCCATTGAATGCAAATCTTCCGATGTCTTGGATAAATCTGAAGACGAAATGGCGGAGGAAGGCGGGTGGCATGGTAACCTCTTCCAGCTCCACACCGTAAGTAACCTGCAAGACATAGTCGAGAACCGCATCGGCTTCTTCATTAGAGAAGTCAATGGGTGTTGGGGTGATGGGCTCCCATGCACGCGAGAGACGATCGGAGCCGGAGTCAAAGCTCATCCTTTCATTGAGGGGCCGGGGTGGCACCCGCTCTTCGCGGGGTGACTCGGGCGTTTCGTCCGGCGACGGCGGCCTATCTTTGGCATAAGTATCGTATGTGGAATAGCACTGCTCTCGCGGACCATAATTTACCTTGGGGTGCCCGCCGTGTGAGGCAAGTCAGTTTGCTCATCTTCATCCGGCTCGATGATGTCCATCCGCGGCAGTGGATCCTCTTTGTGACCCGCGCCGATGGATTCCGGATACGCCGGAAACCTCTCGCCCATGATGGAGTCCACGAACGTCGATCCCGAGTCGCATGATTCTCTGTAACGATGCCCGCTCGTACCGGAACGCGACGCAAGAAACGGTGTCGGTAAGCGCTCAGGGCCATCAATATCAGGAGTCGTAGCCCTTGTAAAGGTCGATGAGGTGGGAGACATGGGCATTGAACATGTCGTCGCTGAGTCGGGGATATGAGTCGAGCTCATGGTCGATGAGGTCGGCGACCGGTCACGAAATGTCTTCCCATAGACACCTGAGATGATCTTCAGGCCCTCGGGGCATTTTTGCTGGTGGTGCACAGGTTGCGACAGGCGAAAGTGGTGTTCAAATGGTGGTGAGTGAACTACTTCCTCGATTTTGGCATGCGAGGCAAAGGTCGAATCCCGGTGACGTGGCTCCCGAGGTCGGATCGGGATCTCGACCGTGAACGACTGCTCGTCGCTCATCGTGACTGATACTCTTTTATCTGCTCGAAATATCGCTGATTCTGAAGTGCTGACGCGTCTTCAGTGAAAGCTGAGCCCGGAATGACACTTGTACCCGATGTACTGGGTTGGCCTTGGCATTCAGTTTTCCGGCTGCCCTTGCTCGAGAATTCCCTTCTCGAAACCCGTCCGTCACTTGTCGTTATGATGGCGATGAGAATAAGGCACTGAAAATCATTAACGAGAGTGATGAAAGAAGACAGAAAAGCGAATGCAATTGAGTCTTGGGATGCGACACTCGAAGAAGGGTAATTCCCCCTCGGTCATGCTGTTGCCTCCAGACTCAGCCCCCCAAACTATGCGGAGTACTTAGAATGCGAACCATCTCAGCATAACAAGGGTGGGCTCAGCTGGAGACTGTGATTGGATCATGACCACGACCGTCGTTGGCGCAAGAAACAAGTTTCTATCATTGGACAATGCGGCCGTGACGGACGAGGATGCCTCCCCTATTTCTGGCGCGCAGCTTGCTGCAGGCCAGCATACCCCCTTAAGAAGAACTGGACCTCTGATTTGCTCGTGGCCGGTGCCGTTCTGCTTCTCTGACAGTGGCGGGCAGGCAGAAACAATGTTTCTGCCAGTGTGTCCTGTTAGGGATATACTCATGATAAACCTGGTCTCGGTTGTAACGGTCCCACGATACATGGTATTTCCCTAACAGCCACGAACGAGATCAGCATGCTTCGTCTCCGGGCGCCGACCCAGGCGTCCGATATATCCCAGCACTGGCACCGTCAGTGCGCCTGTTCGACTGCCAGAACTGGTAATCAGCCCTATGAGGATCACGTCTGTCCAACATTGCGACTCCATTAATGCACGCCATCGCGACTTGGTGGATGTCGACACTCGTCTGGACCTGAAGCGTTCCAGCTTCAGTTGAGATTAGATCGGCCAGGGCTCTCTGGTTGCCCCGTCGCAGGCCGGCCGCCGGTCTTTCGGATTCGCCCTGCCATTGGATAATGGCAACAGTTGGTCCATTGCGCATGCGGAGTGTATCGTCTACTCAATGTCAGAAGCGGAGCTAATATCGATAAGATGCTAAATCAACCTCCTTCGAGCCTCTCTGGTTTTTGGGTATGGAATTGAGCCTCACTAATTCATAATGGTGTTATTATAAGAGCGGGATGGTAAGATGAAGGTCATGAGGGCAACATTGGCCCTTCAATTCGCAAGCGATAGGAAGGCGTAATCGCGCAATCTAACTCCGGATAATTTTCAACTTAACCACCAAAGCCATTGCATCGTGACCAAACCGAGGCCTGTACTTTTCTCTCCAAAATCGGCCGACCGCTACCCCAGAGTCGATCCGAACCGAGCACAAAGCTTGGAACTCTCGAGAAAAATAGTCTAACGAACATGTCACACTCTAAAGCCAGCTCAAGCCAGAGCCTAGCAGAGTATCCCACCGGGTATGAAACACATCAATATTCTGCCTTTGAGCAACCGCACTGACAATGCAATATCGACAGATCTTCCCGTGCCGCTCCCTATAGTGTCGATCGTTTCATGGTCGAGTCATCTTCCTGGACACCATTGAGCCAAAGAACCGGCACTCCCCGCACGACTTACAACGACCTCATGCAATCAGACCTCGACAGCCTGTTACAACAAGCGAAGCAGCGGCCACGGACATTCAATAAATGAAAAACGAGTGAAGGAAGTCAAGAGATTGTACGATACTGTATTACTGCTCGCTCACTCGATCTCCCCAACAAGCATCTCGATTGCAATGCATGTACAAAGGCGTGGAGGATCAAAAGAGGATGATTCCCGCGGGTCCGCTAATGGTAGTGAAAGTATGGGAGCGTTGGGCTTGTTTTGGGTTATGCTGTGTCACTTCGGAGACGCAATGAAGGTTCTTGATGCAGGGCAAGACGATAGAATTATCTTGACTGGTGAGATGGCAGGCCACCTCACCCGGGTATGTAGACTGCTATTTGCAGAATTATGTACGATGAAAGCATATGTGCTATTGACCAAAGGTCCAATATATACGGCGAAGACTCAAAGGAAGTGTTTTTTTACGCATTTCAACTCCATCTCGGATGCAATGCCTACTCTGCTGTGTCTCGAGCAGGAACACGTAGGCATTTGATACCGGATGTGAACCAGCATGCATTTACTGGAAAAGCTCAACGGTGTCGAAAATCTAGGACATGAGTTAGCATAGATATTTATAATCCGAACAATCTCCAGCGAAAACTTACGACGCTGGGGCTCAGGTAAGTGTCACCACTGCTGCCGGAGATGACATTGATGGTGATGGTATTGGCTCCTGAAACGAGGGTGCCGGCAGGGATGCTGACGTCGTAGACCTCGCCGAGGCCGCGGTACGCACCACGAGTAACGCCCCGAGAGTCAATCTTGGTGGGCGCAGCAGGGGCCGGGCCGGTCCAGCTGTTCACCTTGGCCTGGGGGCGGCCACTGGCAAAGGCAAGGGTGGTGGCGATGCGGAGGGTGGCAGCGCCAGGGGCGGAAGCGAGGTTGAACTTGATGGTGACGGGGTTGTTGACGGCGGTGAAGATGGCCATAGGGAAGTCACCGACGGCAGATGTGCCGACGGTGTAGGTAAGGGGACCCCAGCTGCTCATGCGGCTGTCAGAGGGGTGCATGCGGAGCTGCTTGTCGGCGTTGCGGAAGCCGGTAGGCTGGCCATCGTACTCGCCAATCTTCCAGAGGGTGGTGCGGGCAGCGAGGGTGCTGGCGATGTTGGCAGTGGTGGTCTTGCCGGCGGAGACGGTGACGGAGCTGGTGGCCACCTTGAACTCGGTCTGGTAGAGGACCATGGTGTAGGTGCCGGGCTTCATAAGAGGGGAGGTAAAGGCGCCGGTGGACGAGGCGTAGGTCCAGTACTGGGCGTTGGCGTTGTACCAGTGGACAACACGCTGGAAGCTGCCGGTGATGCCCGAAGCGGTACCGGAGACGGTGCCGCGGCCGGAGGCAGCGACGTAACCCTTGAGGCTGAGCTCGCTGAAGAAGTCGTAGTTGAAGTCGGTGTTCTTGGGGATGCCGGAGCGGGAGAAGGACTGGACATAAGGGCCGTGCAGACCCATACGGTAGGCCTCGGTCTGGGCGTGATTGCTGTTCATGTAGTTGTACAGGTTGGTAGAGTCACCAGCGTTGTTGGTGTTGATGTCGCGGAAGAAGGGGCCGCCGGAGGAGAGCTCGAAACCGGTCTTGGGCTCGACGGAGACGCATACGTGGATCTCCTCGGGGCTGGTACCGTAGACACAGCGGACCTTGTCATCGATGAAGCGCTCGCTGGAGTAGAACTTGGATCGGGTCTGGCCACTGACGACGAAGACATCGGAGCCCTCGACGGTGGAGCTGGAGCCGGCGGTGGTGGAAACAACACCGAAGGGGTATTCGCTGGGGAGGGTGTCCTTGTTCAGACGCGAGATCCAGCGAAGCTCACCAATGTCTGGCTCTGCGGTGATGTAGGTCGCCATGTAGATGTTGGCCTCACCCTCTTTGACAATGAGGTAGTGCGTAAGAGTCGAGGTAGTGCAGGTCACCTTGATGACCTTACCGGTGCTGGCTGTGATGGTGGTAGCCTCGACGGTGGCGGTTCCGAGACCAGAGCTGATGTGGCTGCCCTTGCTGGCATACTGGAGCTCATTGCCACGGTACTTGATGGAGTTGATATCACAGCTGGACTTGGAAACTTGGAAGACGAGAGTGTTGGATGAGCCGGCATCGACAACGAAGTTGCTACCCGAGGTGGTAACGCCGAAGGCGGCCAAAGCAGAGGAGGCGAAGGAAAGGATGGTGAAGAAGAAAACCTGAAGAAGAGTGTTCGACGCCATTTTGGCTGTAAAGGGGCTGCCCTTGCCTGGCGAACTAGAGAGAGTGAGAGGACGAAGTTGGAATAAGGTCAAGCAGTCATAGGACAAGAGAGCCTCCTCCTGGGTTTCTAGAACGAGGGTGATCGACTTTGTTATAAAGTCAAGAACAGTTCGTCTGGACTTGGCGCTTGGCACCCGGCCAGCGCACATCTTGGGAGGCCGGGACAAATCCTCGCCATGCTCAGTGCTGAAGGCCCCTTGGTCTCTTTCGCGGGATTCCAACTTCCAAGAGCGGGCGTCCGCCGGAGAGGTTACCTCTTGCAAGGGCTCTCGATAAATTGCAACAGCTTGTTGATTGGCGGAATGATTGTTTCATGGGCCGGCGACCAGGGCTTCCTCGCCGTGGCTGCGCGAGATAGATCACGAAGGGTGAAGCGGAAAGGGTGAGGGACAGGGCTCGAGAAACCAGGGTTTGCCCAAGTCCCGCTCCGGACGGGGGGAGGAAGAGCAGGGAAAAGGCATGATTGATGGGAATTGCGGACGACTTGGCAGGAACCCGCTGCAGCCGTGTGCCGTAGGATTTACATAAGAACGTTGTCTCTGATCTTTGCTCGATTGGATGGCGGATCTGGAAATAAGCATTCGAGGTTACAGTGGCATTTGCAACTCCTAGCTGCTCGCGCTCGCAACAATGATGGCACGGAGAGTGTGATGATTGCGGGGAAGTTCATAACTATTCCAAAGCTCAAGGAAGCTTGCGAGAAGCTAAAGGCAGGCAACTCAACCGAGGAGAATTTAGCTTAAGGTACTTTACTTTGGTGTCAACACCCTGCCGTTAGTTGGACAACATGGGAAGTGCTCCTCTGGCGGGCTGTCGGCGGATTGTCTCCTCGGTCATCTGTATTGTCAAGGTGAGGGGATGACCAGTTGAGGAGATGAAGGGCTGACGGTGAAATTGGTCCGCAGGACAAAAGGAGACATTGCCGGGGGCAGTCCGCTGCAATATGCCCGAGTGAGCCAGGAAAGAGGAAGAATGTTCAGACGAACGGCAGACCCGTTGCATAAGTTACTTTAGCGTTCGCCATGGACATGAAAGCAAAAGACCAGACGAACCAGCAGCAGGCAAGGCGCTGTAAGTCCCGGAATCTCGGGGCATTCTACGGTCTACCCCAGATTCGCACCGGCACAACGTGCAGCTAAGCTGTTGACTCGGTGCTGCAGAGACGGCAGATGAATTGCGGAGACTTGACCTCGGGTTATGATTGCTGCTCAGCTTTGAGCAATGTTGAGTTCCGCAGACATGTGAATGTAACTTCGCATGAAGCTTAAGAGATTGACGAGGCGGTAGACCGGCAAGGGAGCTCGTATATGAGGTTGGCAAGACGCGCAATCCATGCGTGGTTCGTGAGATTGTTGATTTTAAGATTTTAAACGTACGGGGGGACAGAGTCCATCTCGCCTTCGCAAGGTTCCGGCGGCGACAACGAGCCGAATGGCACAGTGAGCCATTTG